TCATGCCACTCTATCCGTCCCTGACATTTTGCGGCTGCTGGAACCAGAGGGACGCCAACAAATCTCTAACACAGCCCAGGACTCTATTTGACTACGTATGTCTCCCTCCTATTCCTGCTCTCAGGAAAGGGATGTGAGCGAGGAGTCTGGCTGGAAGCTGGTGCACGGTGACGTCTTCCGGCCGCCGCGCAACCTGGTGTTGCTCTCAGCGCTGGTGGGGACGGGCGCGCAGCTGGCGCTGCTGGTGCTGTTCGTGATCGTGATCGCGATCGTGGCATGTTGTACGTGGGACGGGGCACCATCGCCACCGCCTTCATTATCTGCTACGCGCTCACGTCGTTTGTGGGCGGATACGTCAGCGGCGGCTTCTACTCGCGGAATGCAGGTACGCGCCAGGGTCAGGGCACGGGGATTGGTCTAAGAATTGATTAAATTGGGGGGGTTATGGCTGTAGGTCAGGGGACAAAGCTGGTGGGGAGGGGCGCGCAGCTGGCGCTGCCGCGGCTAAGGTGCATCTGTGGCCAAGTCGCATGGTCGCATTAATCACCGTGCAGATTTGTTGTAATCAGGGTTGGTCGGTTCTAGTCGGGAATGGACGGGGTACTCGGTGCATTCTCGCCTCTTTTCCCCTCCCCCTCCCACCACCCTTCTCCGCCCCACTCTCCCACCTCCCCCCTCTTCCCCCGCCAATCAACTTTGGTGAACTCTTCATTCTCGTAGTGGCGATTGCTCCCTCTGTGCTAATAGGGTAACCCTACGTTCCACGTGTGCCGTGTTTTCTCCCCCTGTGCTGTCTGCGCCATCTATCTTCTGCGCTCTCTGTACCGCCCCAACCCACTGCAGGCAAGCACTGGATAAAGGCTATGCTGCTGACGGCATCGCTCTTCCCCTTCACGTGCTTTGGCATCGGGGTTCATCCTCAACACCGTTGCCATTGTCTACCACTCCCTCGCTGCCATTCCCTTCGGCACCATGGTCAGTATTCTGCTACTTTACCCGTTCACCCCCTCTCCCGTCACTTTTTCCGTTGCGCGCGCTGTCTCCCTACCTGTTTCTGGTGCCCCATTCTCTCCTCTCCCTTCCCTTCCGTCTCGATCCTCCAGGTTGTGCTGCTGGTCATTTGGGTGCTCATTTCCTCCCCCCACCTCATCTTGTTGAATAAACACCTCCTCTCGCATACCACCTCGCCTCACCCCTTCATCCCACCCCACTGCAGGTGGTGGTGCTGGTGATCTGGGCGTTCATCTCCTTCCCCCTCGCCACGCTCGGCACCATCGTGGGGCGCAACTGGAGCGGCACCCCCGACAACCCGTGCCGGGTGAAGACGATCCCGCGGCCCATCCCCGTGAAGAAGTGGTACCTGACGCCGTGGGTGGTGTCGCTCATGGCGGGGCTGCTGCCCTTCGGGTCCATCTTCATCGAGATGTACTTCATCTTCACGTCCTTCTGGAACTACAAGGTGGGACTGAGGGTGTGGGAGTGGGTGAGTGTAGCGATGGGTGGACTGTCCTGTGTCCTGTGGGTGCCGTGTTGTGTGAAGACGATCCCGCGGCCCATCCTGGTGAAGAAGTGGTCCCTGACGCCGTGGGTGGTGTCGCTCATGGGCGGGCTGCTGTACTTCATCTTCACGTCCTTCTGGAACTACAAGGTGAGACAGAGGTTGTGGGGCCGAATGGGTGTGACTGACTGTTGCGAATGGGTGTGGCTGTGTGTGACAGTGACGAATGGTTGGAACTGTGCTGTGTGAAATGAGCTTGACGATACATTCTCAGCTTGCCGGATTGGGTTGAAAAATCGACAACTGCTGGAAATGATATGAGTCTGTTGGTCGAAATGAAACCAGAAACGAAGCGGGCGCCAGTTGTTCGAGCACTGGAGAGGTCTGGCCAGGAGTTAAAAAAAAGGATGGGAGGTAGCAGGTGGAATGCTGTACAGCAGTCTGGGCTACAGAGATTTGTTACCAAGCAGGAATCAGCCTCCACCCACCTCTCCCCCCCCTACCCCCCCCCTCCCCCCCCCCTCCTCTTCCCCCTCCCCCTCACCTCCCAGCATCCCCCACACTCCCCCCTCCCCCTTTTCTCCCGCCTGCCTGCGTGCCCCGTTTTCCTGTGCCAATGCCCTCGTCTACCACACCCGCCTCCACCACTCCGCCCCGCCTTCCCCAGGTGTACTACTTGTACAGCCTCATGCTGCTGTGCTGGTGTTCCTCATCCTCGTTATAGTGACCATCTGTGTTACCATAGTGGGCACGCACTTCCTGCTGAATGCTGAGAACTACCAATGGCAGTGGACTGCCCTCTTCAGCTTCGACCTCCATCTACGTCTACCTCTACGCCATCCTCACATGCCCCCACGCCCCCTTCCCCCTCCCTCCCTCCCCCATCTCCCTCTCCCCTTCCACCCTCCCCACCTCCCCCCCTCCCTCCCCCCCTCCTCCTCGCGCCCCCTTTTCCCCAGGTTTACTACGTGTACGGGTTTATGCTGCTGGTGTTCCTCATCCTCGTTATAGTGACCATCTGTGTGACCATAGTGGGCACGTACTTCCTGCTGAACGCCGAGAACTACCACTGGCAGTGGACGGCCTTCTTCTCAGCAGCTTCCACCTCCATCTACGTGTACCTCTACTCCATCTACTACTACTTCATCAAAACCAAGATGACTGGGTTTTTCCAAACAACCTTCTACTTCGGATACACACTCATGTTCTGCCTTGGGCTCGGCATCCTTTGTGGTACGTACTTGTGTTACCCTAAGCTTCCTTGTGCTAGAGTAGTCTAACCCCCAACCACTTTCTACTTTGGATACACGCTCATGTTCTGCCTGGGGCTCGGCATCCTGTGTGGTACGTACTCACCTCACCCAAAGTTTTTTAACAAATAAATATTGTACGCACATGTGTTACGATCGCCTGCTTAGGATACACCCTCATGTTCTGCCTTGTACCTGGCATCCTCTGCAGTACGCACTGGGAATTCTCTCTGGTATGCATGCTCCCCAATGTCACCCCATCAGCCTCATGCACGCTTCCCCCTACCCTGACCCCGGCTTCCTCCTCTGCCCCCCCTCCCCTCCCCCCCCCCAACCCACACTCCCCTCCCCTGTCTTCCCCTCCGTTCTTCTTTGATCTCCCTTTCTCTCAATGCAAGCTCTCTCAACGGCTGTGTTTTTCTTCTCCTTTCACTTTGCATACCCTGTGCAAAATTCCCCCTCCTGTTCCCTGTACTCTGGTCTGTTCCCCTTCCCCTATCCCACACCCCCTCTGCTGTGCGCTTCCCCTGCCCTTGCTGCAACGCCCCTCAGGTGCAATTGGCTATCTCGGTTCGTCCATGTTTGTTCGCCGCATTTACCGCAACATCAAGTGCGACTAAGCAGCATGAGCATGCGTGTGCACGCCTGTGTGCTATGTGCGTGCATGTATGCATGCATGCAAGTTTTTATCTGACAGTGCTTATAGATGTAGATGTAATACTGTGGATGGGAAGAGTGGAGGCTTTTAGCAGGAATGCTGAACGCTACACCATCTTTTCCGCAGCTTCACTCGCACACTTTCATTGAGTTATATTCTAGTCTTCTTTACTTAGGAACAACCTAAAATGATAGTGGATTTCATTTCTGACACTCATTTGCAACTTTCCTGCTTCCGGCTGCTTTAAGTCTCATGTCAACACTGGTAGTGTCACTGGCGAGATGTCAAATATGGTAACGTAACCATCTCTGACACAAGCCACTTTGACTGGTACTGTAGCTGCTGGATTCTCTGAGCCTGTGGACTGGGGTGTACTCCTGTGCACTGAGGGCGCACAGGAGTGCCCCAGAAGGTGCTTGATGGCCGCTAGTGAAGGAAAGGCGGACCTGAAAGTACATGGCAGGAGGGATGGGGTGAAAAGGTGACTTTTGAGTTGACTCAGAAGTCACAGGAGTGCCCCAGAAGGTGCTTGATGGCCGATCGCGAAGGAAGGGGGACCTGAAAGTACATGGCAGGAGGGAGGGGGCGAAAAAGTAGGGCAGAAGGATGGGGCTGAGGGTGACACTAGGAGTATGGGCAGCAGAGAAGCAGCAGGAGGTAGACAGAGCGCCCTGGCATTCACAGCAGATACTTGCAGGATGCTCACAGGCTCTTGAGTGGACGCAAAAGGCAGGGAGGGAGGGAGGGGAATGGAACCCACCGTGAATCCACCACGGATAGTAGGAAATCCGGTGGGCCAGGAAGCGACTTTCTGAAGCGTGCATTGGGAAAGAAGACATCGAACACGGCCTTAGCTCTTCCCCCGCCTCTTCCCCCGACTCCTCTCCACCGATCTCTCTATTACCCCCTCCCACATCTTCCTCTACTGTGTCTATCCTTCCTCCGCCTATCGCCCCATCAACCCCTCCCCCATTTCGCTTCTCTTTGCCTTGCTGTCCCTCACACAATCTCACACCCTTTGCCACACTCTTTGCCGCACTCCCTGTGGCTGCCGAGCCTGCTGGTGCGGTTCGGGTCCAGGGCACGCCGTGCCGAGCCAGAATGAACCCGAGCCTACGCAGGTGCGCGTAGGCTAGGTAGGCGTTGAGAGAGCAGCCGAGGAGGGGAGTGCAGCGTGTGGTAGAGAGTTTGAATGGGGACGGGGCAACCAGATGGGGAGAGGAGAAGCAGAGAGCCTTTTCCATGAGGAATCTGCGGTCACAGGGGAGGGGGGGGGGGGGGGGGAAGGGGAAAGAGTTGGGGGGACCAAGGCATGAGAAGGCTTACAGGGTTTCTTCTATGTGGCCCTGAGAAGACTCACAGGGTTTCTTCTATGTGGCCCTGAGAAGACTCACTGGGTTTCTTCTATGTGGCCTGAGAAGACTCACTGGGTTTCTTCTATGTGGCCCTGAGAAGGGCACTAGCGTGCTTACAAGGAGGGCGCTGTGAATCCCTGAGAAGGCTCACAGGGTTTCTTCCACGTGCAGAGCAGCCGCTGGTTCCTCACGACCCCCGTGCTGCCCCACACTTTCCGCGCTGCAGCAACACCTCCGCCACACAGAGAGTTGGGCTGGCTGCTGCACAATGAGAGGCGTTCAAAGGCAGTGCAGGGCCGCCTTGAGCCAGCGCCTCCTGCGTAGTTTTGAAGCGCTCTGGCTCAAAGCGCTTCAAACCTAGACTCCTTTCAGCCTCCTGCAAGACCTGCACGCCTGACAGCAGCAGGGCGCGTCACGCTCTGGCTCTGGCTCTGGCTCTGGCTCTAGGCACCCTGGTGCAATCCATTGGGCGATTGAGGCTTCTTTCTGCACACAAACATGGGCATGCACACATGCACACATGCACATACACACATGCACATGCACACATGTACATCCAGACATGCAGACATGCACATGCACATGCACTCATTATGACATGCACATTCATATGCAGGAGCGCAGAACAAGGATTGAGAAAACACCAGGGGTGGGATGGAAGGCACATCCACATGGACTCTCAGTTATTGCAACCATGCAAACATCTGCCTCTGCTGCCTTCACCTGAGAATCACCCTGGGCTGCCTCAGGTGCCGGTACAGCTCCTCCAGCTGCTGCCGCCCCATTCCCCTCCTCCTCTTCCTCCTCCTCCTCCCCATCTCCTTCCCTCACCCTCCCCCCTCCTTTCCCCCCCACCAGATTTGCTAATAAGCCCCCCCCTAATCCTCTCTGCCCCGCATTTCCCCCTTCCCCACTTCCGCCCTCCCCGCCCCCTTCCCCCGTTTCCCCTGATCCCTCCCGCCTCCATTTTCCTCTCCCCCGACCTTCCCCACGTCTCCCCCGGCTCTTCCCCCAGTCCGCGTGAATGCCTCCGCCTTCCCCCCTTTACGGAACAGAATCCGCCTTCTCTCTTCCGCCAATTCCCCCTCATCCCCCTTCCCCTCCCCCGCGCGCCCTCATTCCGCTGCCGCTCAAATTTTCCCTCTTTCTCTTCCCCGCTCCTCTGTGCGCGCCTACTCCACTCCCCCTTCCCCCTGCTTTCCGCCTCCGCCAGTCCCCTTCCTTCGGGCGTCCGCCGCAATAGAGCTCTTCCCCTCCGCTTCCTCTTCCGCCTTCCCCTCCGTCACCCCTTCCACCTTCCCTTCCGCGATCCATTCCGCCTTTTCTTCCGTGTTCCCGCGTGCAAAATCCGCTAAACCCTCTCCCGCCGCCGACATAGTCGATTGCGATGTAGAGGAAGACGGCGCGCCGCTAATCCTGCCTATAGGATACGACCCCTATATAAAGACTCTCCACACCACATTAGCGACGGTTAATTGGGGCAGCGACCCCTGGCATAGTAGCGCGGCCTAAAGAGTTGAGTATACTGCAGAAGATGGGAGTTACAGCCGCCTAAGAGTGAGCCTAAGCGCGCTCGAATCCCGACGCGCTTTTTAAAGGCGCCCCAGCGATATGGCGAGGGAGGAGTCCAAGAAAGTAAACGGAAGTCAACGAAAGTAAAGGCGAATCAGCCACGAGGCTTGAAGAACACGCATCATCACGCTGTCAGCCAGACCATGCAGGATACGCGGGTTATCTATATTTGTGCCAGCCAGGTGTCGAACGCGGGTCTGCAGCCTGAAATCCTACGGGGGGGGTGTTTCCCTTGCGGGTTCATTTCTTCAGACAGCCCCTTGATACTTTCGCGCATTCTTCGCAATGGTTACTCATCATCCGAAACGAAAGGGGTTGCTCATACTATCCTGAGGTTCACAACCGAAACGAACTTCCCAAGTTGAGTACGCCCTCGACCTTCCTCGAGATTGCTTTTTTCCTCGGAAATGTCAGCTGGTTCTAGAACCACCTAGCCTTCACTTTCTCCCTGCCAGCTCGTCGAAAACTAGTATTCGCCTGACAAAGCAAGCTGTAGTTGCTTAGTCGGCAGTTTCGGTAGTCCCGGAAGCTAGTTCTGTTCGTATTTCTCGCTCTCCGACCAGGCGCTAGCTACGAGAGGAACCCCCCTTCACCAATGCCCCATTGCCGTCACGTCGCCTGGAGCCTCGTAGGCAGATACTTCGCAATGCGGCTTTGAATAGAACGCCTCAATAATCGACTGATTAGGCGCCATGATCGACGCTACGGGTCTACAGCACCACATCCACGAGGCGTACAAAGCACCTAGATACGTGACTGCTGCTATCCGCGCTATAGAATCCCTCATCTCTGGCATCGCATGCTCGAGGCGTACAAGAGTACGTAGATACGTGACCAGATACGTGACTGCTGATATCCGCGCTATAGAGGTCCTCGTCTCGTGCATCGCGCACACTCCGCAAACAGTTATAGTGTTCCCATTTTCACGTCTCAATGGACGTCTCGGGGCTCCGGCACCGCATCCACGAGGCGTACAAGAGCACGGCGGAGATGCTGCTATCGGCGCGCAGCGCGACTGCCTTCGCGGAGAAGGGTGTCCTTACACCGGACGAATTCGTCGCCGCTGGGGATAATCTCGTCGCCAAGTGCCCTACCTGGGCCTGGTAAGTGTGTCTCAAATGACGCTTGAGTAGTACTTTAGTTCTTAAAACCGCAGAGAATGTCGTTCTCACGCCGGACAAATTCGTCGCGGCTGGGGACAACCTCGTTGCGAACCTGGGCGTGGTAAGGTTATACCTGATGTGACGCTGTGGCGTCCACCTGACAGGGCGCTGAGGTCTGTCAGGGCCTGGTAAGTCCGCCTGTAGCCACTGTGGGCCCTCTGGCCGCAGTGACCGCAGATGCGTACTAGAGCATGGTGGAACTGCTGCTATCGACATGCAATGCAACGGCCTTCGCGCAGAGAAAGGCGTCCTCACGCCGGACGAGTTCGTCGCCGCTGGGGACAATTTGTCCGCCAAGTGTCCCACTTGGGCCTGGTATGACGACCGAGGTGTCTTTTTTAGTCGACTCTAAAGCTAATTCACAGATTCACTTTCGTTCAAATCATAAGTAGGTAGTCACAACGATTTCCTTTCCCTCCTCTCGCCCCCCCCCCTCTTGATTCTTCCCACTGTCATCTGTCAGGGAGGGGAGCCGATGCTCTCGTCGACGAAGCTTCCTCCCACCTGACAAGCAATACCTCATCCACACGCAATGGTAGGATCCTCGTTATTGTGATCCCTTAAGTCCAATGGCATGTAACAAGTACACCCGACAGGCAGCATCTTATCACGCACACACAACGGTAGGATCCTTACTACTATGATGTTTTGAATCCAATAGCATGTAACAAATACACCTGACAAGCAGTACCTCATCACAGTCACGAGTCAGTACAGTCACCCTTGAGATATTTCAGCAACCGGTTGTGCTATTGAATCAGCTACGCTATGCGGGCGATGAGGATGTACCTCAAGTAGCGCGCCAGCTACGCTACGCGCTACTCTGAGCTTGGAACAGCATCGCCTTGGGACTTGGGAGTGCCTTAAGATCAGAATCGACCTCTTCTCTTGCACCCCCAACTCCCCAACTCCCCAACTCCCCTTCTCCCCTTCTCCCCTTCTCCCCTTCTCCCCTTCTCCCCTTCTCCCCTTCTCCCGTTCCCCCCCCAATTCTTCTCAGTCCCCTGTCTCAGGCGAGTGGGACCATGGGAGGAGGAGTTGTGGTCGATTGGTGCTCTCCTCATTATACTCCATGTTATATTCTTCCCTCCCCTCCCCTCCCCCCCCTTCCCCTCCGCAGTCCCCTGTCTCAGGCGAGTGGGAGCAATGGAGGAGGAGGTATTGCTGGCGACAGGTGGCAGCGAGACATTGGTGGATGCTGACGTGGACGGGGATGATGAGCCCTGGGTCTCCACGTCTAAGCTCGACACCACCTGTAAGCCAGGGCTCCACGTCTAAGCTCGACACCACCTGTAAGCCAGGGCTCCACGTCTAAGCTCGACACCACCTGTAAGCCAGGGCTCCACGTCTAAGCTCGACACCACCTGTAAGCCAGGGCTCCACGTCTAAGCTCGACACCACCTGTAAGCCAGGGCTCCACGTCTAAGCTCGACACCACCTGTAAGCCAGGGCTCCACGTCTAAGCTCGACACCACCTGTAAGCCAGGGCTCCACGTCTAAGCTCGACACCACCTGTAAGCCAGGGCTCCACGTCTAAGCTCGACACCACCTGTAAGCCAGGGCTCCACGTCTAATGTGCCGTGCTTTTAGAGGAAGGGCATTACTCCGTTTTCGTGCCCTTCCTCTATAATCGTGCCTCCCAGCCGCTCTCCCACTTTCCGTGGCACCATTTCCTGCTCTCCCCACCTTCATTTGCTCAAGTATTCAGTGGTCAACTACTCTAAAGTGGTCAACCACTCTAAAGTTGTCAACTACTCTAAAGTTGTCAACTACTCTAAAGTTGTCAACTACTCTAAAGTGGTCAACTACTCTAAAGTGGTCAACTACTCTAAAGTTGTCAACTACTCTAAAGTGGTCAACTACTCTAAAGTGGTCAACTTCTCTAAAGTGGTCAACTACTCTAAAGTGGTCAACTACTCTAAAGTGGTCAACTACTCTAAAGTGGTCAACTACTCTAAAGTGGTCAACTACTCTAAAGTTGTCAACTACTCTAAAGTTGTCAACTACTCTAAAGTGGTCAACTTCTCTAAAGTGGTCAACTACTCTAAAGTAGTCAACTACTCTAAAATTGTCAACTACTCTAAAGTGGTCAACTACTCTAAAGTGGTCAACTACTCTAAAGTGGTCAACTACTCTAAAGTGGTCAACTACTCTAAAGTGGTCAACTACTCTAAAGTGGTCAACTACTCTAAAGTGGTCAACTACTCTAAAGTGGTCAACTACTCTAAAGTGGTCAACTACTCTAAAGTTGTCAACTACTCTAAAGTGGTCAACTAGTCTAAAGTGGTCAACTACTCTAAAGTGGTCAACTACTCTAAAGTTGTCAACTACTCTAAAGTGGTCAACTACTCTAAAGTGGTCAACTACTCTAAAGTGGTCAACTACTCTGAAGTTGTCAACTACTCTAAAGTGGTCAACTTCTCTAAAGTGGTCAACTACTCTAAAGTGGTCAACTACTCTAAAGTTGTCAACTACTCTTAAGTGGTCAACTACTCTAAAGTGGTCAACTACTCTAAAGTGGTCAACTACTCTAAAGTGGTCAACTACTCTAAAGTGGTCAACTACTCTAAAGTGGTCAACTACTCTAAAGTTGTCAACTACTCTAAAGTGGTCAACTTCTCTAAAGTGGTCAACTACTCTAAAGTGGTCAACTACTCTAAAGTTGTCAACTACTCTAAAGTGGTCAACTACTCTAAAGTGGTCAACTACTCTAAAGTGGTCAACTACTCTAAAGTGGTCTATTCAGCTTCTTGGATTCTCCGTCCTTTCTGTTTTCCTGCAACCCATTTCCCCTGCCATCCATTTCTCCTGCGTATCTGTTCCTTCCTACCGGGAGCCAGCATCATTTCTGTTTTCCTGCAACCCATTTCCCCTGCCATCCATTTCTCCTGCGTATCTGTTCCTTCCTACCGGGAGCCAGCATCAGTAGCAGTCGCAGGGTCAGCCGAGCAAGAGGCGCTTCCCATGATTGAAGCAACCCAAAGGGAGGGGGCCGTCGGTGCAGCTGGCTCTGCTGGTGGCCCTTGGGTTGGTGGGAGGGAGGGTGGAGGAGGGGGGCAGGGGAGAAGAATGTTGGGGGAGCTGCAGGGGCGGGAGAGGAGGAGGAGGAGGAGGAGGATGTACCTGATATAGCGGAATTCGATGATGTGGATAATGTCGTGGATGCTGACCCTGTGAGTCGCAATTCCAAATCTGCTCTCACTCTTCCTCCCTCATCCTCCCTCCCTCTTCTCCTCACTTCGATTCCCCCTTACACCCTGCTTCCCCTCCCTCCCTTCCCGTCTCAACTTCCTCTCCTCCCTCCCTTTCCTCCCACCATTCACTTCCCATCCTCCCTCACTCGCTTTCTGCTCCTCCTTTCTTTTGCAGGGTGTTTTTTAGAATTCTCAAAAACACCCTGCAAAATCAAGGACTTCCTCCCGCCGTTCACTTCCAGTACAGTCACTCCCATCCTCCCTCACTCGCTTTCCGCTCCTCCTTTCCGTCCTCCGCATCCCCCTCACCTCCATTTCCCTTTCTACCCCCCATGAAACAGGCGGCGCTGCAGCTAGGGGGGGGACATACCTCATTGCAACGGAGCCAGAGGACGACCACATTCTGCAGACTCGCACCTACGACCTCACCATCACGTGGGTTCGGGGTTTCGGGGTTGGCTCGGGTTAGCGGCTGACGCAACATCGCGTGGGTTTTGGAGGTTTATGGTCAATCCACCATCACGTGGGTTGAGGGTTTATGGTCACTGCACAATCAAGGGCTTTTGGAATTCCGGTTTTGACATCGATGCACAACGGTGAGGTCATGCATGACGTCACCGTCATGGTCTTGGGCTTCTCGTTGCTTGAGACGGCCTTCTTAATGGCCTGAAACTAGACTCTGGTTCTGACGTCGTGGCGTCACCGTCATGGAGCCTTCGCGTTGTTTCTCGGCAGACCCGCACTCATCACCTCACCGTCTCCTCCCTCTCCTTGGTTGTCCTCTCCTTGCATGCCTCTGCACCCAGATACGACAAGTATTACCAGACCCCACGAATCTGGCTCTTTGGTTATGACGAGGTATTCTAAGCTCTCATCTCACTAACTTGCTCCTTTGCTCTGGTTTCTCCTTTTCTCAGATCATCTCCTTCCAGAAATTCCTCCTCTGTTGTCCCCACTGTTCATGTGCCCTGGAATTTGCATTTTCATGTCCATTTACACTGTTCATGTGCCCTAGAATTTGCATGTCCATGTCCATTTGCACTGTTCATGTGCCCTGTCGTAGACTCGTGACTTTGAGTCGACTCAAAAAGGGAAGGGGACATGTTAAAAAGTTGACCGACGGCTTTGATTCATCCTGTCCTGTTGATGTGCTATGTCGCAGACCCATGCCGTCCCTTCGGGACTGATTGAGGGTTTAGGTGTTTCACATGCCCTAAACTGTGTATGATGTTAATTTTTCCCTTCCCCTTCCCATCCCCCCCCTTTTTTTTTGGCATTGCTTGCATTGCTGTTGAATCCCCTTCCCACCACCGCAGCAACGGCAGCCATTGGCAGCAGAGAGAGTGTTTGAGGATGTGAGCCAAGACCACGTGAAGAAAACGGTGGGTGACTGTAACGGTGATTGTGGTTGTTAAAGAAGGTGTGTTCATAATGGGGTGGCTGTAACGGTGGGTTTGGTGGAATGGCGTTGGGATCGGATGATTGGTGTGATGGCAGCAAAGAGAGTGAGTGTTTTAGGATGTGAGTCAAGACCACGTGAGGAAAACGGTGAGTGTGACTGTAACGGTTTGCATGGCTATCGTGTCCATGTGACTGGCGGATGTGACTGTTGGTGTGATGCGAGTCTGATCGAACCCTCGCACTTGATGCATCGGGTGTTGTGGGTTGTGCATGTGCAGGTGGTGGTGCAAAAGCCATTTAGAGTCTGATGGTGAGCCGTCTGAAGGCAGCATGCTGAAGTCAGTTAGAAGCCCCATGCGCATGTGCATATCCATTTGTGTTGCCCTCTGTGCAGGTCACCATTGACGACCATCCACACCTTCCAGGAAAGTACGCTTCGGTCCACCCGTGCAAGCATGCAGCGGTAATGAAGAAGATCATCGGAATCATGGCGGCCAATGGCGTGCAGCCACGTGTCGATCAGTACGTGCCCCTCTTTTTATACATTCCTATGTTTCCTTCCATGCCTATGCTCCAGTCATCTTTCATACTGTATCCCATGTTTCTTGTTGTGGTTAAGCGTCATGATTAGTTTGTGTAAATTGTTCCTAGGCATGTGTATTTGGGTATTTGCAGGTACCTCTTTATTTTCCTCAAGTTCATCTCCTCATTGGTGCCTACTATCGAGTATGACTACACCATTGATTTCGACATGGGCGGTACACTAGGAGGCGCAGCACAAGACGATGGAGAGGCCAGTGAAGGTGATGATGAGAAGACTAATGGTAACAATGGTAACAACGGTAATATTGGTTATAATGCAAGTGAAAAGGAGGCCGATGTCAAAGGAGGGGGGGCGTAGAGGCCAGTGAAGGTGCTGGGGAGTCAGGAAACGTGGAGAGATAAGGGGGGATGTTGGCTTGTAGCTTCCTATCGAGGGTGATTGAGTGGAGCAGGAATATAGGAGACACGTTTGTATATATGATGGGAAGTGTGGCGCTCAGGTAAATATCTTCGCAGGAGGTTTCAAACCAATTCGTTGGGGATTGCATAAGATTACTTACATTACATGTATCTTCATTTTCTTCATTGGTTTTGGCCGTTGACACGTTGAATGCAGTATGTTTGCGACTCTGGTGTACACTGGAATTTCTTCGTGAGTTCCGTAGCACGGGGCATCTTGTAGAGCGTTTTTTATCCACCTTTCCTCCATGCAACATTCTCGCCAGCTGTAATCCTCATTTCTCATGCAGCCAAGCAGGCGCTAATTAGTCGGATCGTCAGAAATCGTGAAAACGCAGGTCGTCTAGAGTAGACTGGAGCCGCCTTCGGCGTCTACGAAGCGCAATGTTCCCATCACATCGCTTTGTGTTTAGCCTCGACGTCAGCAATTCCTTTTGTCTACTGCGGAGCGCATGATAGACGTATGATAGTGCGTCAGATGCCAGACGTCGGCCTAACGCTCCTCGCGAGGTGATTCTTGGGTGCAGCATGACGAGTTTTTCGCCAGGAATCCCAAAATGCCGCGTCGATCGGGCGTGGCGTGCCCGCTATCGAGTAGCGCGGCTCCGACGAGTCGAGTCGGCTCGTCCGAGGCTCAATCTTGCTCTCGAAGGCCTTGTCATGTGTAAAGACAGACTACCAGTGGTACATAACGCAGGCCCACTCCACATCGCTTTTAGGTGAGCTCGTTTCCTCTGAATTCCTAGCAACTGAAGTTTTTCTTCGTTTCCAGATTCCAACTCCGAGTGCAAAGATTCAGATTCCAACCTCCGATCTGCTACTCTCCGCCGCGGCTCACAACGACGATCATGTCGACGATGAAGGAGAAGCTCGGCGACCTCGGCACGACCGCCAAGGAGAAGGTCACCGAGGCGAAAGCCAAGGGCGGCGAGATGATGGGCAAGGGCAAGGCGGAGACGCAGGAGACTGTTGACAAGGCGAAGCACCCACTCAGCCACCAGGCGCACGAGGCGGCGGACGCGAAGGAGGCGAGCGACGAAGACGCGCGGAGGTGGGGAAGGAGGAGCAAGTCGCGGGGGCCAAGATGGGCGCTGCGGGGGAGAAGGAGGCGCGGCACCTTAAGCACCAGACTGGCTTGAAGTAAATACTTCAAGGGTGATTGAAACACGGCTGGGGAGTTGGGATGACACGCGGCTGGGGAGTTGGGATGACACGTGCAACAGCAAGATTGGCTACTATGATGAAGTCTGTGATGGTTGCATGGCTGCACTGCATGGCTGCTAGATTTCCACCTGGCAGACAATACCCCGAGATTTGTGGACTTTCAGTTCAGCTTCATTTTGTCACTGTACTGTGGCTGGGCAGGATTGCTCGCACTGGTGGTTGCCCAGCAACGCCACTAGGTCTAGGTCCTAGTCCCTAGTGGTTGAATACGCTGCTAGACCTAGCTTTGCTGCTAGCTCTAGTAGTTGCTTACGCTTCTAGCCTAGCTTGATTGGCTGCCAGTTTAGTAGTTTTGACTACGCTGCTAGTCTTGCTTGCCTCAGTGGCTAGCTCTAGTAGCTGATTACACTGCTAGGATAGTTTGCCTGATTGGCTGCTGGCCTAGTAGTTGCCTGCCTTACTTGATATGGTGGGTTTTTACAAGTTTTCTCTTCAAATCCTCCAGCTAGTCACGAAGATGGGACATGGATGAATATTTCTGGAACATTTACACTGTGAAGAAGAACATATTCCATTCTTATAAAGCATGATATGATAATGGAAAAAAAAAAAAACAAATCATGTTCTAAAGAGATACAACACAACTTATGTACGCGGATCGTCCGAAAAGACCAACTGAGCAGTATAGGTTTGGTGGACGTTTACCCCGCCAACGTGGGCTTTAACCCCGCAAACTTGGATATGTGGGGAGATAGGAAATATTTTCACCGCGGAACGGAGCACCTTCAAGGTGGCCCGTCATCCTGTCCTACTGGAAACTTCCTGCTCCAGCTCGACAGGGCGTTTTCCTCCCTTCGATTTCTTGACGCCTCAGTCAATCGCGCGGCCGAGATGCCCGTCTGAATAGCAGCAGCGAGCTTGAGGTTATGGCGGACCAGTGGAGGGAATTTGTGGGGAGAACAAGGAGCAAGATTGGAAGCAGTACTGACAACCGAAGCTATAGCAGAGCCGGTAGCTGTATCAGGAGCCAGCTGAGTGGTGAGTGGTGTCAGGAGCGCTCCGAAGGTAATAGTGTGTCGCCGAATGGTAATATGCCTGTTGATGCGGATTTCCGTAGCTGTGCGCGACAATGCGAAGACACGTACCGTAACACTCGCGCCTATCAGTTTGACCATGCGGATGACTATAGCGAGGATAGCAGCATCTCCGACGGATACGACGATGGCGAAGATGTCGAAGATGACGACGATGACGATATCGGAGGGTCTTCTAACGAGGAAACGGATCTCGAAGGATCTCTACAGGGCGTGGCTCAGCAGCCCGCTGCCCTCCTCCTGGCGCACGCGCCCGCTCAAGCGCGAAATTTCCGCCGATTCCGCTCCCCCGGCGGAACATCGGGGGAATTTTACAGTCGCGGGAGCGGGTTGAATCCGCTCCCCTGGCTGCAATTCGACCCGCAACCGCTCCCCTACCGCCAAACCTAGCTTCCGCTTCCGCTTCCGCCTCCCCCCCGCCCTTCCCCGTCCGCCTCGACCCCCCGCCTCCGCCTCTCTCCCCCCCTGTGGGGAAAGCAGTGCCAAACGAAACCAATCACCTCCAGCGCCCCCTTTAATATCACAATTCTCTTCACGAACCGAGCAGCCGGTTCTCCCCGCGTTTCTAGAGCCTACAGACTGGGAGCTCGTCCTTCGGAGCGCTACTGACACCACTCACAGCACTGCTCCTAAACCGCATTATGTGGCTTCTAATTCAGACTGTAGACTCCCCGAGGGAAGGGCAGCCGAGGAATGGAGCCGGCGTGGTAGCGGAAGGGAAGAGGGGGGTCGCGACTGGAGTCCGGCGACTGAATCAACAGCTGAAGGACGCAGCAAGGCCAGGAGGGGGGAGAGGTGAGGGAGGCTGGGACTGGAGCCTGGGTAAGGAAATGACTGATGGGGGGCGGGTCGCTGCCAGGGAAGGCGCTAATCTCACACAGGAGGTTGGATGTGCCTTGGGTCGGAGTCAGGCCAGACTGGGAGTTAGCTGGCGGATGGGATGGGGAGGAGTGGGCTCTTGCCAAGGGAAGGGAGGAGGAAGGGAGGAGTTGGGGTCATGGGGCAGCCCCCTCTGCCTTTGAGTGTGCTCGAGGGTTATGGGGCCAGCAGGGGGCCATGCCTGTTAATGGGATGATTATGGAGGGTGGTGGGATGGTTAGGGAACAATCGGAATGTGTGCTAGTTAGGCGTGACACTAGCGAGTGGCAGGTGGTGGAGAGAGAGGTGGAGGGAGGAGAGACTTGGAGGGTCGGAGCAGATGCACTGCAGGAAGTGAGCTGGGCAGATCGGCTCAGCGCAGCGGAATCAGGTGGTGACTGCGCTGTTGGCTGCGTGGATTCTCTGCAAGCCAGGACTTGTCAGCACGCGTCAGACCAGCCTTTAAGAACCTTCACGAACTCTCCTTCGCCCGAGGCGTTTCTCCACTCTCCTATCCATCATCTTAGCTTTCCTCATCTCATCTTTCCTCCTGCTCATCAACGAGCTCGTTTTCCCTTCCGTCCACCTCCTCGTCCTCCTCCTCATGCTTCTTCTGCTTCTACGGCCTCCTCCTCTCCTGCTGCTGCTGCTGCTGCTGCTGCTGCTGCTGCTGCTGCTGCTGCTGCTGCTCTTCCTCCTCTTTCTGCTGCTGGTGCGGAAGGTGAACAATGGCTGTGGGTGCAGCAGAACAAAATGCAGCAGGCAACAGTAGGCGCAATGGCAGGGACACTTGTTGCTGCAGGGGAGTGCAGCTGCCTGTGTGGGTGCTCTCTCTGACCGCTCTGCTCGCCTGTGCTGCTGCCAGGCACTTGCTCGTGCAAAGGCAGCAGCTGCAGCAGCTTAGGAAGGACAGGGACCAGTGGAGGGGCGGATATTTGAGGATAAAGCAAGCTCTGGTGCTTGCAAGAGGAGGGAATGTGCGTTTTTGCACATAGCATACGAATATTGGTGCAATCCTAGCTGCTCTGCTCGCCTGTGCTGCTGCCAGGCACTTGCTCGTGCAAAGGCAGCAGCTGCTGCTGCTTAGGAAGGACAGGGACCAGTGGAAGGGCGGGTATTTGAGGATGAAGCAAGCTCTGGTGTTTGGAGAGGGGGGAATGTGTTTTTATTCGCGTAGTATAAGAGTAGAGGACTGGTGGTGGTGCTCTGGTTGCCTGTACCGTTGTCTGCCAGTCCATTCTGGTGGAAAGGAAGCAGCTGCTGCAGCTTAGGATGGACAGAGACTAGTGGAGGGGTGGCTATTTTGAGAATTACCAGTGGGGAAGCTGTGATTCTTGCGAATGCTGAGTTGTTGCTGCTCTGATTTGATAGCGTGACAAGGAACACATTGTAATATAGTGTTTCGTTTCCGTATCAGTTCCACAGTATTGAATTATAACAGGAAGATCAGTACCACGCTGCTTTTCAAATTATTCAGCCCAAGACATAACCCCACAACCCTCAATATACCCCTACTTCTGGTAAATTAATATCAATCGGTAGGTGACTTCGCCACCCGAGTTAAACTGTACAGCCCACTAAGTTACTATCGAGGACAAACGCAGTTCAAGGAACCCGATTGCTGAATGAGGTTGATGACACCCGATTCCCACAGAGCTTCACCTCTAATCCTTGCTTGATTTGCCGACTCAGCCATGCATGCGCTCTCCTGCTTCTGCTTCGCGTTCTACCGACAGACGCAGTCGCCCCACAACCACTCGAAATTCTAGTCAATCCGCCGTCGTCAGCGACGCAACACCGCCGTATTTCGCCGCCCATCACCGAGCTCGCGCCTTCCGCCCATCCCTCCTGTTCCCTCCCGAGCCCAACTGCTTTCATTTCCCGAGCTCCGAAAAACGTGCCATGCCATCCCCTGGGGAGCGCCGGAACGCTGACGCACCCGTCTCCTCCTCGCTCTTCAGACACCCTTCAATTCCCGAAACACCGGACTTCCGAAACCGCAGCAACACACCCTTCTCCGCTTCGCGCCCTCGTCCCGTTAAAGCCAATACCGAAACACGCCCCATCACGCCCCATCTCGTTTCACTTTCTTCGGCCGTACCAACAACAGCACTAGCAGCGCCGTCAATCTCAAACCATTGGGTCCTCACGCGGATTTCCCCCTCCTCACCCCCCTCCTCCCGCCTCTCTTCCCGCCAATTTCCATCCGTTTATGCCTCTCATGCTCCATTAATTGGTTCGAAACATTTCAGATTGTTCCTTACGGGCTTCAAGTTACGCCATACCCACACCCTCTGTGCTGAACTCACTCGGGTGGTCGATTCGCAGGACGAAGTGGTAACCATCCCATGCGAAGTAGGATTGGTCGCATCACTCTTCGCCTTGCTGGGTAAAGCGCCACCTCTCGTGAAAGCTTTCTCGCCACCTCTGATCGCCACCTCTTCGCCTCTTCGTCTCTGAGTCCATATTGCGAAGGTAGGGTTACACAGAAATCTGCTCCAGCACGAACGCGTCCAGGTACAGGCCGCGCTTTCGCCGCTGTCGCGAAATATCCGTCAGGGTCGAAATCACGCGAACATTCGCGAACTCCAACGCCGCGTTACCCGACGATCCCCCGTCGCCAACGCGCAGCAGGCCTGCCGGCATGCGAGTCCACGTGGGCGTGGTCGAGATCCATCGGCGAATGTCGTCAAGATCATGCTGCACCACGTGTCCAGTCGTCGCGTCGCGCACTTGACTAATCAACGGCTCCTCCTGCGACCGCAAAAATCTGCGCTTCGGACTTGTGGACCTCCGCGGTCCGTCGTTGTCTTGTGCGACGCGCCACGACATGCGGTAGTACCCGCTTCGGAGTTTAAACGGGAGGTCGATTTTCCCGCAGGTGCTCAGCCAGTGGATGACGATTCCGTGCGACGCGTCGTCGAAGATCGCACCGGTGATGTCGTGCCGTCGCATGCGATCCTGGTCGCGATCCTCCCACAGGATTTCGAAGACCTGTGCGACGCTGACGCTGACGGTGATCAGCGACGTCGCAGGGTCCATCTTGATGTGGTAACGCCCGTCGTCGAGCATCAACCCTTCGCCGAGCGTATCGCGAAGGCCTCGTTCGTCTTTTGCGAGGGCTGCCGGAGTTTCGCGAAAGCACGGAGGAAGACCATTGGAGATGAGGCGGTCCCAGCACGTGCTCGACTTGGCGGCTGATAGCCACATCTTGGAGACCGACGCGGTTCGACCGACGGCCGCTGGAGTGAGGAAGGAAAGAATCGTGGCGAGGCAGTTCTCGGGGAGGTCGTTTATCGTGGTAGCCATGGGTAGCTCGCGATGATATGTCGACCAATTGCACAACAATTTCGTATCTCTGGTCAGCTGATCCCAAGCGCACCGAGAGGAGGAGACTCTAGAACTCGGTAGCAGAAGAGGGTAATAAGCAAGGGAACGCCGGCCAGGAATGAAACTGAAATGCTGCTGAAAGCACAGTACGAACTAGTAGAGTGAGCAGTGAATGGCGGCAGCGACACAGGATAAATACATAACTTGGAAAGGCAATGCCGATTTCAGGCTGCTGTTTGTTTGTCAGTCTACACACCTGCGGGCAGGGAGAATGCGAACGGTTTGTTCGTCACCCTTCCCGTTTTCCACCGACGCATCCCCATGCAATGCATGCCATCGGCGCCACATTGAATTGCGCTGCCTCCCGCTACTCGCAAATCGGAGGGTTCGCGCGCCCCTCGCGTCTCGACTCTGCACTAGATTCGCCCCCCCTTCTACAGCTCTGGCCCGCGCTTCGTCCTGATCCGCGCGCTGTGCCCCCCAATCGCTGCCCTTCGTGAGCCCCATTCCCAGTCGCATGGGGCGCTTTGCGCCACTCTTCGGCTGACTGCACTTGGGCGGAAGAGCCACGAACATGCCGAGTCGCTAAAGCTCTTGCATTCACAACCACAGGTGTGCTGAAGCGTCGAGCCAGAAATCAGCAGCGACGTGGGCGAATTGAGAAAACGAAATTGGCGAATAACATGCACAAAAGGGTCGAGTAGGTCAGTGCGTGGCAGCTCGTGTGAGTGAGTGGTTCGCGATTTCCAACCAATCGGATCGTTCCAATCTCGATAACTAGGGGTAGGAACACACATGTCACTGAAGCACTGCTGGGGGGAATGGACCACACACGTCAGCAAGACTGCCAATGATTGGCTGATAGCAAGTTAAGGGAATGACTCCTCCAATCATAAGGCGGAAGAGGGTGGCGCGGAACACCTGTGACAGTTGTCTCCCAATCAGAGAGTAGACAGCTGTGGGTGGTGCTGATGTGTGACATGTCAGCGCGGGCGGGCCGATGAGGACTTTCTGGTTTCAAAAAAATTCAAGCCCCACCAAGCAGGAGCAATTGCTGGCCGTAACCCAGACGCGAGAGTTGCACATTATCCCCATTGGAACATTAAGCTAAGGTCGAGATTAGTGTCGTCTATAGGCGAAATCCTCGAGAAGCTACTAGCGAGGCACTTCACGAATCTTGCAGGTGACGTGGTCCTCAAGATGTGGCATCTCCACAAGCAGCCACGCGGCATTGCCTATAGATTCCACATGGACACGACGTTCATATCAACCAGCATCGCTACAGTTTTTATTTTGCTTGAAAAAGGAACATAAAACACCAGCCCCTCTTAAATCAATATCGCACCCACCCCGAACGCGGATAGTACTGTCGAGCAAGCAACTTTCATCCCCGCAATTCTTCCCTTGTAGAAATCAGGATTCCCGAAGAGGCCTTCTGAGGATGTTCTAGTAGAGAAGCACTGCTACTACGGTACGAAGTAGCTTCCCAACGTTTTCTGGTTCTGCGTGTCGCCAACCTCCGTTTAGTGGTCCTCAAATACGTGCGGTGCCCGTGGGTTATGGATTCGCTGGCTCTGCAGGTTAGGCTTACCACCAGACTTGCCGAATCTGGTGGGACGTACCAAATTCTCAGATGTCCGTCCAGAGGACCTGCGGTGGTTCCGTATCGAAGAAGTAGTACTATCAGGAACTACGTTAGGACGATTTCTTGTAACACCAGACAGCAGTTCCTGGCACGTGACGTTCATTTCCCATCGACTGTACCGCGTTCCCGCCGACTATCGATTCTCCCTCGAGCTGCAAGCACAGGATCTCAGACAACTACTGGTTCACAGGAGAATGCCTCCGCGAAAGCCACGTGGCAGTCGCGGCTGAGCGGCGGAACGGCGGAACTCGACGCGCTGCTGGCGGAAGGCAAGGAGGAGGAGGCGCTCGCGCTGGTGAAACGGCTAGCCGGTAGCACCGGCGAATCCAGTGAAACCAGCGAATCTGTGGACGGTGTGGGGCCGCAGAATGCGGATGAGAAGGTTTTCAGAGCCTTCGGTGCGGCGTCGCAGGTGAGTGCTCTTATCTTAATTAAATTCTAGTCCAGAAGTCGTAGTAGATCCACGCGTATGCTTACGTGTCATCGGCTTCTCGCCTCAAATTTTCCCGCCAGGCTCGCCGCTCTTATTCAATCGACGAGCTATGACTGCACAAGATAGACCCGGCTCGTAATTTCGTTTTGAGTCGACTCAAAACGCTATCTCTATATCAAGTAGACACTAGACGAGCTTTGACTGCTCAGGATAGACCCTGCCCGCGTGCTACTTCTTTGCAGGGTGTTTCTGAGAATATTTTTGAGAATTCTCAAAAGCATGAGATAGACCCTGCCCACGTGCTACCGCCTAGAGACGGATCACTCACTCTGCATCCCTCCCATGCCCTTTCCTTCTCCTCTTATCCCCTCCTCCCTGCTACCAGGTTCCCCGCCGCTCGTACACCCTAGAGGAGCTGAAACTGCACAAGATAGACCCTGCTCGCATGCTGGCGCCGCGAGATACCACCCTAGCGGGTGTGAGGCAGGGGGGTCAGCTGGCGCTGCTGGCAGGGCTGGTTGCCACGTGGTGGGGCGAACACCTGGACCAATGGCAGCTGCTGGGGCTGGTCATCGGGTTATTGTTCATCGGCACTGTAGACCAGGTGGGATATGGATTCAATGTCGGTGCGTCACACAAGGAAATGTCACGCTAAGGGAAAAGTCTTGTGAGGCAGGTCCTGCGTGAAGTGGCTTGTAACACCTGTCAACTTGCTCTGCAAGTTCCCCAGGAGCCGTGCTTGGCTCTTCAATGGTTGCTATTCCCGTCCGACTCCATGCCCACCAGGGCTTACTTCTGTATCTCGGGGTACCTGGCAGATCTGGGTATCTGGTCAAAGCTACCCATCAAAATCCGGGTTCAACACCCTGTTCTGCCAAAAGTCACCCATCAGAATCCAGCTCCGGTGAAGAACTCACCTGTTATGTTGCGAAAATCCAGGTAGTTGCCCATAAAAAATAAGCCCTGGTGCCCACGCATGCGAATTGTTCATGCCCGCTGTAAACCCGATTGTTCATTCAGGTGTCGACTGGTGGAGGTGGCGAGGCGCTACTGGTGGACACTTTGGGCCATCTGCTGAACCCGACCTACCGCAAGCGAGTGGCTCTGGTGAGTGTGATTTTGATGCATGTGATGGTGACAGGTGTGATAGTGTTGGGTGTGATGGTTATGGGTGTGGTTGTGGTTCATGTGATGGCGGTGGTGGTGAGTATGGTGGTGATCCCTTTCATTGGTACCACAAACAGGCACTGGTTTTTGTCAACGGAAACAGAGACAATGGGAGGGAAGAGCAGCTTGTGGCTGGGTTTGAGGGAATACATGCTGGTGTGTGAGTGGTAGAGTGGAGAAGGTAGGATAACTTACGGAGTGGAGGTATGTAAATCTCCAGGAATCAAAGACATGCCTCATGGGGAGAAAAAGTTTGCAGTCATCAGTTCTGATTGGATTCGTCAGTTGTCAAAGCGGAATGTGTCGAGATGGCCGAGTTGGTCTAAGGCGCTGGATTAAGGTTCCAGTCCGAAAGGGCGTGGGTTCAAATCCCACTCTCGACATTTTGATGAAATGTGCATATCATTCCCTTTTCCCCATGATCTATTAGTCCCCCATCACTCCTGTGGATTCTCAACCACGAGTCAACCTGTTTCAACGTCTCACACTGCTGCTTCCATATTACAGCATGAGGAGGGGCGCCTCTTCATATCCTACCTGGTGGGCATTCCCTATGTGGTTTCATTCTCTCCAGTTTGAATGCCTGTAGACTCTTTACCCCTCCACCCCCATTTCAACAAACTCACACTGCAACTTTTCCTCTTGTCTCCGCCCATCCTGCAGCATGGGGCGGGGCGTTTCGTGGTCTCCTACCTGGTGGGCATCTCTCCACGCGGCTTCACTCCTGTGGATTCTCAACCTCTTGGCAACTGGTTTCAACGTCTCACATCGCTACTTCGCCCCTGACCACTCCCCCCAATGCAGCATGAGGCGGGTCATTTCCTCATCTCCTACCTAGTGGGCATCCCTCCACGCGGCTTCACTCTCTCCAGTTTGGACGCCTATCAGCGCTACGGCGCTCTCAACGTGCAAGCAGGCACCACCTTCCTTGACCTCGACTTCCAGAAGCAAACAAGGACATGGCAAATCAAATCTGATGTAAGTGCATACCTCCTTGGTCTCTCCAGTTTGGACGCCTATCAGTGCTACGGCGCTCTCAACGTGCAAGCAGACACCACATTCCCGTTTCTCGACTTCGAGTAGCAAACAAGGACACGGCAAAATCAAGTCCGATGTAAGTTATGTTAAGTGGCATAATCCATCAGACCCAGCCATGGGGAGTGCTTGAATTCTACTGGGCTTTATTGATCCATTGGTGTTTCACTTATTGTTACTGCTTTCCCTTCTTGTTTCCACCATTCTCCCTGCTGTGCCGATGTGCTTCAGATGCTGGATGCCGTTTCCTGTGTCGCTCTAGCTGGAGTGTGTGCCGAGTACCTGCAATTTGGGATCGCAGAGGGGGGTGTTGCTGACATCCAACAGGTACGTTATTCGAACTTGCTCCTTGGATATATCTGCCTCTTTGTTGATTTTTTTTTACCTTAGTTACATGGGTGTTGGCCTCATTGTCTATGTAGCCTTCACGTCTCAACCCTGCCATATTTTTGCACCTCTACTGACCCTTGTGTTTGCAGCTGGATTTCTTGTATCGATCATTGGGGTTTACCCAGAGGAAATCAGACGATGTGGTGCGCTGGGCGGTGTTGAATGTGGCGACACTGCTGCGGCGCCATAAAAGGCTACACGAAGAATTGGCAGATGTTATGCTGAGTGGCGAGTCTGTTGGCCAATGCATTGCCCTCATTGAAAAGAAGCTTGCTAAATCAGATCTGGTGTAAAGGAGGTTGTTTGTAGAGACATGTGTTGATGCATATGGATATGCTGAAGTTTTTTATTATGTATTTATTATGTAGTGACTTCATTGGGTGGACATAGACCATTTCGTCTGGTTGGACAGACGGTTTTCGCCGCTTCGCCCATCGCGGCGTATTCCCCCCTTGATCGACTTGTTCGTTTTCGCGAATCCTGAATTTGGGGTTACCACCTCCCTCAGCTACATCCCTCCTCCTCTCCCTCAGTCTGACTTCTCTTATCCTTCACCCAACATTTTCTGCCTAATCAGAAGCTTCTGGGCCTTGATATCTCCGCCAGTTTCGCTTTGTCTTAGCATCTCCTGGAGCGGGCTCTCCCTGTTGCGGCTAACGACGTAACCTTCTCTCGCTGTGTCGGTTCCCGTGTTCGCCGCGTATTGCGCTTGGAAGATTAACGACTAATCAAGATGGCTCCTTTAGGAGCCGTTGTTCTTTCACAAAGCGTGCTCGCATTGCCACGTGGTACCACCTCACTCCAATACCCTAGCTTGCGTCCTTCCCCGGCGGCTCTCGGTTCCAATCGTGCCTTTCTATTGCGCCCCCTCGCGCATTCGTCTAGATCCGAAGGGCTTAGAATACGTGTTACTCAACGGAATGTGCTTATACGGGCCAGTGTGACTGAATCGGGGGACGGGGGTTCAGTTGGTGCGGCGGTTTCAGACCAGCTAGCTTCAAGCGGAGCGGCCTCAGCTGCTTCTAACGGGGATATTCCCGCCCAGTCTCGCGCTAGTTCCGGCGAGCGGTCATCTGAAAAGGATCCGAGCGAAGGAGGCGAGGAGGGTTTTGACCGGAGCAGAAGGCAGGGCGGATTTACTAGATCGGGAGGGTTTAACCGAGGTCGCGGACGGGGTGGGTCGGGCGGCCGTCGAGGTGGCTTTGCCGATCGCGGCGGCGGTGGATCGACCTCCGGGTCGACCTCGGGGTCGACCTCTGGATCGACCTCGGGGTCGACCTCCGGGTCGTATCAGAGGTCATCATCTGGAGGGTTTAACCGGGGTCGCGGGGGCGGGTCGTCACGTGGGCGTGGCGGGAGTCGCGGCGGGAGTGACGGCGGGTGGAGCGGAGCGAGGCAGGGCAACGCGTCGAGTCAGCGGGGGTCGGATGGATCTTATCGCAGGCTCGATCGTTCCGCAGCGGATCGTTCCTCTACCGATCGTTCCCGTAGCGATCGTTCCTCTACCGATCGTTCCTGGAGTCGATCCTCCAGCCCTGCCGATAGAAGCAAGGACGTCGCTAGAGGCGCGAGCGCCAATTCACGGGGCTCCCGCTTATCCCCCAGGGAGCTGAAGAACCCTCAGTTCTCTCGCCCGCGCACCACTGGCCGGTTAGCTCCCTCCGCGCCGAGCCCCGATCCGATACGAGCTGCTCCGCTTTCCGCTTCTGGCGCCGACTCCGATGATGCGTGGGCGCGCGCGTTTTTTCCGCCGCGCGTGGTGCAGGTGCTCGATGTGTTGGCGCAGGAGAGCGGCGGGGACCGGCGCGCGGGAAGTGTGGATGTCTGGAGAAATGATGGTGCCGATGGGGGGAGAGATGGGGGGAGAGATGGGAGGAGGGATGGGGGGAGCATTGGGGGGAGTGAGCGGGTGGCGGGTCGGCTGGAGCGGATGGGGTTGAAGCTGTCGGGGCGGGACGTGGCGACGGTGCTTAAGGAGACGGCGGACTGGCGCATGGCCGTGGCGTTCTTTGAATGGGCGAGGAGACAGGTACGGCTCGGTTCAAGCAGGTACGGCTCGGTTCAAACAGGTACGTGTGCAAGCAGGTGGGAGGGGGGAGGGTGGCGGGTCGGCTGGAGCGGATGGGGGTGAAGCTGTCGGGGCGGGGCGTGGCGATGGTGCTCGTTGCAAGCAGGTGGGGCTCGGTTTAGACCGGTGTCAACGCAGACAGGTGTAGATGGGGGTGAAGCTGTCGGGGCGGGACGTGGCGACGGTGCTTAAGGAGACTGCGGACTGGCGCATGGCCGTGGCGTTCTTCGAGTGGTCGAGGAGGCAGGTAAGGCTAGGTTTACACCGGTAGGGCTCGGTTTAAACAGGTATGGCTCGGTTAAAACCGGTATCAGTGCAGACAGGTATATGTTACTCATTGGCGGGGCGGGACTTGGGGACGGTGTTGAAAGAAACGAGTGACGTGGTGACTGGCGCATGGCCGTGGCGTTCTTCGAGTGGGCGAGGAGGCAGGTGAGGGAGGCAGGTGAGGGAGGCAGGTGAGGGAGGCACCTGGTTCTAGCCGCACTGAGAAGGGGGCGACCGTGTCTCTCTGCAGCACATCCCAATCCCTCCCCCCTCCCACCCTTCCTCCCTTCCAACTCCCCTCCCCCCCCCCTCCTACCCTCCACACACACACACACACACACACACACACACTCTTTCCCTGTTCCCTATTCCGTGCCTTCTCGCCTCCTGTTTCCAGGAGTACTTTCAAGCAAGCACATACGTCTACAACCTGGTCCTTTCCGCGCTGGGAAGGGGGCGGCAGTGGGCGGCAATGGAGCAGCTTATAACGGAGATGACTCGAGATGGCGTGGAGATGGATAATGTTACATACTCCACTATTATCAGCTCCGCTACACGGTATGTGACATGATATTGCTTGGTGCTTAACTCCTGGTATAGAGTTTTCTCGAACTCTCGAAACGTCTTCACGGGTATGTTTTGAGGCGTCCAGAAGTAACCTCTTCTCACGGGTATGTGATAGTGCGTGATTGCGGTTGCAGTGTAGAGCCTGTTTTTTCTTAGAATCTGCAGGAGAAGTCAACACTGGTTAGATCAGGTCCCCTACGCTTTCTGCAAGGTTCCTTGCTCTGGGGCAATTTGTTTCCCATTCCCCTCTCCCCCTTTCCCCATTCCCCCAATACGCAGTGCGGATCAGCACGACCTAGCCCTGCAGTGGCTGGGGAGCATGGCGTCGTCCCCCTGCATGCCGGGCCAGGTCTCCTACGCCACTGTCATGCACGCGCCAAGGCGGGCGGGCAGTCCAGAAGACCCTGTCACTCAAACCCTAAATTCTTTCCCCCCTGCCCTTCTCCTCCCCCCATATGCAGAGCGGACCAGCACGACCTAGCCCTGCAGTGGCTGGAGCGCATGGCGTCGTCCCCCTGCATGCCGGATCAAGTCTCGTATGCTACAGTCATGCACGCGCTAGGACGGGCAGGGAGACCGGCAGACGCCGTGAGGGTGTTTGAGCGCATGCGGGCCACTGGGTGGCGCCCTGACGCGGTGACCTACGCCACTATCATCACTGCTTTTGGCGAGGCTGGGGGTCCGCAAGAGGCCTATGAGCTGTTTAAGGAGATGAGGAGGGTTGACAGGGGGAGGGGGGAGGGGAGTGGAGAGGGGGGGATGGGGGAGAGGGAGAAGGGGAGCTGGAGGAGGGGTGGGGGAGAGGGTGGGGGGCGGAGGGGAGAGAGGAGGGGGAGGGGGTGGTGGTGGAAGGTGCTTCTTCTGGTAAGGAGACTTCTTCTGGTGTGGCTGTACCCACAGCAGCAGCAGCGGCTGCAGCAGACGCATCTGCAGCAGCAGCAGTAGAGCCAGCAACAGCAACAGCAGCAGCAACAGCAGCAGCAGAGCCAGCAACAGCAGCAGCAGCAGCAACAGCACCAGAGCCAGCAACAGCAACAGCAGCAGCAACAGCACCAGAGCCAGGGGCTGCAGCGCCATCAACACCAGCAGCAGCCGCAGCAGCACCAGCAGCAGCAGCATCACCACCAGCAGCAGCTTTTACGCCGCTGGTAACCGCAGGGGTGTACCACGCAACCCTGAACGTGCTTGCAAAGGCGTGGCGCCACCTCCAGGCAGAGATTGTCTTCCGAACCATGCAGCACGACCCTATAGTGCCCGTGACTACAGATGCCGTGACTATAATGCTGGCGCTGTACACTGAGAAGGGCGAGGTGGAGAAGGCGCTAGCCCTGGCCGACGAAGTGCAGGAGAATTTCCGCCACAGTAACGAGGGAGCTTATAACGAGGACAGGAGCAGGGCTTATAACGAGGACGGCCAGCGGAGCGAAAAGAAGAACCCCAGAGACGGGCCGTTTCGGCCGGACGCGACCTTCTACAGTGTGATTCTGCAGGCGTGCCGCGAGAACGGATTAGTGCAGGAAGCTCGGAGGGCATATGGGAGCATGAAGAGGGACGGGGTTCCGTTGACTGAGAACAGCCTTAGACAGCTCGCAGGGCTGATTGCTGAGAAGGGCGGGCGTGGGGAGATGAAGGGAGAAGCTGGTAATACAGGGTCTGCTGTGGGAAGTCCGGCTGTAGCGGGGCCGGCTGTAGCAGAGTCTGCTGTGGTTGATCCGGTTGTAGCAGAGGTAGAAGCGTTGCTGGAGGATGCGAGAGCAGCTGGGATCTATCTCGGGGGCAGCAGTAGCAGCCAAACCCGCAGTAGCAGCAGGGGAGACAGCAGTAGCAGTGGCTCAGACTCGGAGTATGATGGGCTGGGGGTTGACCTTAGTGGCCTAACTCCTGTGCCAGTAGCATCACCAGCAGGCCCATCAGCAGCACCAGCAACGCCAGCAGCACCAGCAGTACCATCCCCAGCAGCAGCAGCAAGCGCGGGGTTGGCTGTTTACACTGCAATCATCCACGGCTTTGGCAAGGCGGGCCGCTTCGACCTCTCCGCACACTACTTCCAGAAAATGCGCGCAGCAGGAATTGAACCCGACACCCGCATGGCCACTGTCTTCCTCGACCTGCTGGGGTTCACCTCCCCTGGGAAAGCCAGGGAGCGCCTGGAGCCTGGTGAGCGTGCTGAGGTGCCTAGAGATGCTGCTGCTGCTGCTGCTCCTACGGCTGCTGCTGCTGCTGCTGCTGCTGCTGCTCCTACGGCTGCTGCTGCTGCTGCTGCTGCTGCTGCTGCTGCTGCTCCTACGGCTGCTGCTCCTACGGCTGCTGCTGCTGCTGCTGCTGTGGGTGGGAAAGAGGGTGTGGTAGGTGCGAGGAAGGTTCTCCTGGCTTGCTTGAAAGAGGTTGACTCGCGGATCCATGACCTGGTGCTGACCGGGTTAGGGGAGGCGCTGGATAAGGTGGTAGAGGCTCGAGATGGGGAGGAGGGAGCGGCGAAAGAAGGGGAAGCAGCAGCTTTGGCACAACGGGCAGCAGCAGCAGAGGGGGATTCAGCACCGGACGCAGCAGCAGCAGCAGCAGCAGCAGCAGCGGCGGCAGCAGCAAAGCGCACCGCTCGTTTCGCTTCCCTGCTCGACCAAACCTTAACCACCATCCCTCCCAGGGGGCAGAAGCCCCTTTGTAACAACCTCCTGAGCCTCCTCTGGCTCTTCCACCAACAGGACACCGCAGTCGCCCTCCTTAAAGCCATGGTCAGCTCGCACCAGATCGAACAGCTGTCGTCGCGCGATTGGTCCCGCTGGACCCTGCATCTTTCTGGCCTATCCTACCACGGCGCACAGGTGGCGCTGCGCTATTGGCTGGAGCAGATCGCAGCAGCGGTGGAGGCTGGGAAGCGGTTACCGCGTGAAATCGAGATTGAGGTAGGGGTGGGGCGGGCTAGGAAGAGGCATCTCAGGGACGCGGTGGTTCCGGAGCTGGCTAGGCTCGGGTCGCCGTTCCAAAGCGATGAGGTTCGGCCGAGGCTGGTGGTGGCTAACGGCGCTGAGGTGGCAGCTTGGGTTAAGAGGACCCCGGAGCTGTGGCTTGGGGCGGGTGGGGGTGGTGGTGGGGATGGGGGAGGGGCAGTTGAGGGGAGAGGCGAGGGCATTGAGGGGAAGGAGAGTGATCGTAAGGGGCGTGACTCAAAGGAGAGTGAGAGTAAGGAGGGAGACTTTGCGGTAGCTGCTGCTTTGGCAGCTCCCGAGGCTGTAGCAGTGGGAGGGAGCGTGGTGAGAGAGGAGGAGAAGAGGGTTGGCGGGGGTGATGATGGCAAGCTGAAATCGGAGGCAGCTCCTGCTGGTGGTGTTGCTGATGCTGCTGTTGCTGGCAGCACTGATGCCACTGGTGCTGAGGGCACTGTTCATGCCACTTCCCCTCCCAGTGGTTTTGGTACCAGTGGGTCTGAGGCAACTACTCCTGCAACTGCTACAGGGGCCTGGGAGGTTGCAGCTGGGGAGGCTGCGACTGTGGTGCAAACACGGGAGGTGGAAATGCAGCCGGTGGGTGAGGTATTGGAGAAGGATGGGTTCAAGGCGTTTCAGATAGCAGGAGGGGCGTGGGTGAAGGAGTGTGTCTGTGGCGAGCTGTGCTCGTCGAGGAAGCAACGGTGCCAGAATAAGGCGTGTGGAAGTCACCTGCCTACCATGGCACAGTTCAGGGAAAGTCAGGCAGGTTCGGGTGGGCTTTGATGTTGGACGAGGATTTGAATTGTTCTTTGAGATTTTCACTTTTAGTGGGTGGTGGTGTTGTTTTATGCTCTTTTATTTGACATCTGTTTGGCGATTGGGGAAAATATGTTTCGAGGAATGAGCTGTGTTTCCGCACTTCCGAAACTGGTTACGCATGCCCGAATTGTCGCTAAGCGCTTCGTTATGTCGCCAGGCCCAAAAAAGGCCCATCGATTTGTCATCAACCCTGTAAGCCTATCAGACTCGCCATACTCCTCAATACTCTCGCGTCGCACATGCGGCTCGGTTCAGCGCGACGCGGGGCAAGAGGATGCATGTGGGTGGGTGACTGCAATACCCAGCAACCCAGCCCAAGCTGTATTGTATCGAGAAGGCGTCAATTTCCACGGTGGAAATTGGAACTTCTTGCCATCGTCGTCATCTCTTTCTCCAACGAAAGTCTGTTCTGCTGTTGGCTGCTAAACTAGCATTTTGTGCCTTCTGCCTCCTTCGGCATTCATTGGGCATTCGGCGGCGCTACGCTTCCATTCTCACACAGCCTCTCTTCTCCGTTTCCCCTCGAAGCAAGATCTTGAATGCAGCAGCACGCGTTTGCCTCATAGGAGAGCCTAACCTCGAAGGGAACTCCCCGTACCGTATGAGTGGAGCGCACTTAGTCCTGAAACACTCTCCTCATGTACGAGTAGCAGCACTTCCCCATATTCAAATCAGTTTCAGTCACACAGCCGCCAAGGGAACATGGCATCGGCAGTACCTGACGTCACTCCCGATACAATCCTCGAGCCGCTCTTAAAACCCGGAGAGTTACCCCTCGGGATCGCCCTAACAACAGCCAGCTTCCTAATCACGCTCGTATTGTTAGTATATTTCAAGCTATGCTACTATCCGGGCGGCTACAAACGGAGACAGGTCATGGACATGGGCGAGTACGCGTTATTAGCAGGCGCGAGAAGGTTCAGGGAGGACCGGGAGAGGAAACGGAGGGAGATGCTGGGAGAGCAAAAAGACGAACTGTACATCGAAGCGCCGCCCGATAGAGGCGGCGGCGGCGTGGGAATAGGGGCGCACCGGATGGGACTGTCGTATGGCCCTCCAAGCTACTTCGTAAGTAGGGTCTCCTTAAAGGGTCCCCAAGGGAACTATCGTATGGGCCGCTGACCTGTGTAAGTAGATTGGCATATCTCGACGAGTACACGGAGAAAACACCATCCACGGTCAAATACGTTTTAGAGATGACAAGATGTGGCCTTAACAAGTCTTCTTTCCCCCCCTCACCTCCCCCCCCCCCCCCATTGACTTCAGCTCTGTATTTCTCTCTTCCTCCTGCCATCCCTCCTCCGCCACTATCAGTAGTCGGTACCTCATTCCCGCATTTGCTCCTCACCGCATTCGGTACCTTCCCTCGTCTCCCGTTTCCTCCTCACCGCATTTGCCCTTTCCTTGCAGCCATCCGACCCTGCGGCGGTGCTAGCTTCGGCAGGCATTCCGGACCACATCGGGAGCATCGGTCGCCAGGGCACGGGGTCGAGCCTAACCGAGTCGAGTCGCGAAGACAGCGAGTCGCAGTACTCCGAATCCACCGCTCAGTCGCACACAGATTCGCACACGGACTCGCGATCGTCGCCACTATCGTCGAGCTACACTCCGGACAGTGTACAGCGTTCAGATCAGACCCCACTTTCGGCGGCCACCCCTTATAGCGCGTACACGCAGTCGTACACGATACAGTCTGGAGCTGGGTACTCGACGTACACTCCATCTGCTTACAGTGGATCCGGATACACTCCTTACTCTGCTTATACACCATCTGGCTACACTACACAATCTGGGTACACTCCATCCGCTTATACACCGGGGCCTCAATCTACAGTCTACACCCAATCAGCAGCGTACACTCCATCTGCCTACACCCCAACTGCGTACACTCCTGGCTACACCCCATCCTCGGCATACACTCCAGCAGCTTATAGCGGATCCATCTATGCTTCACCCGGCTACACCCCTCAAACGATCGATACGACGACAACATTTGACTCACAGACTACAGCAGAAGCAGATGCACCTTATTCCGAGGGGACTTTAACGAGGGAATCAACTGAAGCTGACAGGGACTCCATTACAGGCACAAGCGCAGAGGCGGGAACAGAAGCAGAAACAATTCCTTCTACAGTACCAAGTGTCTATACTACAAGCACAATTCCCGCCTTCCCCCACTCTGCATCTGTAACCAGTTCAGTGGTTACCAGTTCCGAAGCAGAGACAGGCTCGTCATTCTACACTGAGTTTGCACCTGGTGCTGCCACAGCCGCCTATGCTGCGGCATATGCCGCCCGTGCCGCCGCCCAAGCTGCCGCCCAGACCGCCGCACAAGCCACTGCCGCCCAGGGTACTGCTCAAACTGTAGGAGGAGGAAGGGGGGGGGCACGAGGAGGACGAGGAGGGGGAGGAGGGGGTATGCCAGAAGGCGCACACTACACAGCTGCTAGCTTCTCCTTTCCCCAGTCGGATTCTGTTACAGAATCCGAAGCAGCGGTTACAGAATCGGAGGTCTCAGGTTCGGTCGTTGTGCAATCTGGTGCACCAAGGCACAGTCCTGTACCCCATATAAGCAGCCCCTTCCAGACCACGGTGAGCTCCTCGTACCCCTCTCAACCTGTTACTGGTAGCCCGATGCACACTGTGAGCATGGGTTCCCCAGCGCATCCCATGGGTAGTCCCATGTACCCCATAGGCACCCCTGGATACCATATGGCAATGAGCGGTTTTGGAGGGGCTGCTGATGGTGGTGCGGGCAGCAGCGGTGGCTCTGATGGTGTTGGTGATGGCAGCAGTGCCCCGATTATGTCAGCTGCCAAGTCTGGGTACATGCAAATGCCATATGCCTTAGGTGCAGAGGACATGGGTATGGCATATACATCACCAGAGGAGTTCGGCTACGCATTGCCGCATTCGTACACTCAGTACGATTCAGGCAGTGTAATGGCTCCAGGTGTATTATCACGCGTTGGGGGCCAGGATGCAGCGACAGGTTTGCATGGACCTGGAAGTGGGGATAGTGCGGCTGAAGGCTCTAGTCAAGTAGATCTATCAGAGTCCCAATACTCGGTGCAAGATAATTACGATGATTAGTGCCCCATTTTCTGGTCGAAAGGGGGCCTTTGTTTTATATAAATAATTGGACGAATGGAAGCAGTTGTAGAGACAAATGTTTGGGTGCACAACGTGTTGGGCTTTCTTGTTGTGAGATGGAAGTTAGGAATACTCTAGATTGACTCAATCTGATCGATGGGAAAATCCTCGGAAATTGTTATATTGTACGCGCTATCAGCCCGTAGAGTCGCGGGAATTGCCCACTTCAATTGTTCGCGGCCAAACCGAATCGCCAATTCTCAAATTTCAAGATTGGCGAGGCGATATCCCCCGCGAACGCTCGCGAGCTGGACACATGTGCCTCGGCGGACCTTTGCGATCTCCGCAAATTGTTCGCTCACGTTTCAGCCGTTGCACAAGGGCTCTCGGTTCAAGGGTAAACATCCGGAATGTCAGGTACATTTCGGGTGTTTTTCGATGGAATCCGGATTCTGAGTGAGGTGGTTTCACAAACCTCCTGACACTTTCCGAACGTTTCACAAACCTCCTGACTGGGCGGAACCCAGAGCCATCCGCACGGGCCTGAAAATCATCCTGACATATAAACCACCTGTGACGGATTCGCCCTAGTGGGCTTCAACGTGGCCGCAACTGCATCGTGATTTTCTCCCACAACAGATAGTTTACCCACCCTCCAACGAGGTTCCCGCTAATCCCTCGGGTCTAACACTCGCTGCGGAATCTGCCCTCAGCATCAAGGATAGTGTGCTGATTGTTATGGTGTATTTCGATCCTCTAAGACGCTTCGTACCGAACCGAACTATCCTGCCTGTGCAAAGCGGGTATTATGAAGGCTTAAGGGCTCCTGAAAAACAGAGTGATTTTCCTGGGAATGCTGAATTTTCAGGGTCTTCTGTGAGGCGAGCCCTGTGCCCTCCGGGTCCCGTATAACGAAAAGAGAGCCCCCACCACCAAATTCTCGCGTCAACCTCTCATTTTTCGTTGCCGCATTGTTGCTCTCCGTCCAATTTCACGGAATTGACTTGGCAGGCAACCACCTCCTCTGTCCGTGTTTTCCCCCTTCGCCCCTTGATTCCCCTGGTTAGACGGTCCTTTCTTCTCACTTCCCTTACCTTCCTCCACTCCGCTCTCACTGTGTCCGTCCGCCTCGCGTGTCTGTAGCTTAGTTGACTAAAGCCTTAGGCGTTTTATTGAGGATCGTCGAAGGCAGTAGGTGCCGTTTCGCATGCTTGAGCACTCTCAGGTGTAACAAATCACTTTAGCGGCACTAGCTGCTGCTGAATGTAGAGAATTTGCGGAAGATTTAGAACTGTCGCGTAGAGAGCGCTTGATCCAGTACACAGTACAGCCCTCAGCTAGGGAAAAGCGGCGCCGTAGGTAACGTGGGGCTTTGCTCCACACGCAGCAATGACGCTTCGGTCGAGGTCCACCATTAATACGACGGCATGCGTGTTCGTGCTACTCTCGCTTCTCGTACTAACAAGTGGGTGCTCAGAATTCCCCCGCTTTGCAGCCGCCTAGACAATTTTACAGCTCTGTGAGACACGTCATCTTTGGAACTAATGTGTGGTTTCCGAAAAATATGTAGTTGATTTTTGAGTCGACTCAAAAATCACCTGTGTAGTTTCCTCGGTTTACAGAGCCACAGAGCTGCAGAGCTGCATCGCGCATTGGAGGTCCTCCGTTTTCTTCTGCTGCGTTTGCTTCGCAGTGCCGACCGACCACGCCGTATTCTGCTACTGTCCCTTTCGAGTCGACTCAAAAGTCTTTCGAGTCGACTCAAAAGTCATCTCGCCGTGTTCTGCTACTGTCCCTTTCTTCTCTTCCCCACCACGCTCTGCAGTTTCTCACCTCCCCGTTTCTTCCCTCCTTCCCCCCCTTCCCACATCCCCACCCCTTCTCTCCTCCCTCCTTCCTTTCCTGGCTCGTCCCGCTCGAATTCTCCTCTGCCGCCTATTCGACCATGCGTTTTCTTCCCTTGGCCGGGCGGCGTCGCCTCCCAACGGTGCCGTTGTTGGACCCCGCAACAGGCGCTCCTGTATCTCAGGTAGACTTGTGCACGTTGTAAATGCCTTATCCGCACTCTCATGCTCCGCTTTTGAGTCGACTCAAAAGTCAACTCGCTCCTGTATTTCAGGTAGACGTCTGCACATTGGAAATGTCTTATCCATAGTGTCTCCTCCTCACTCTCCATTTCAGCCATCCCTACCCCACCAGTTTAAATTTGAAATTGGTTACATGGTTTGGGTTTCGCCATCTTTCAGGCTCGCATGGTTCGTCTTGGTCTAAAGAAGTTCTTTGGCTGGACGTATGGCGCTCAGAAGTGGCAAGGCCGCCCCGTCAAACCTGGAGATATTCTTGGTGAGTTGGGCATGTAATTCCCTATCACGGGTTGTGGGAACTTTTTTCGGAATTAGGCAACTTCGTATCCTCCTTATAATAGAAGGGCGGAATAGCTTATCATATTCATATTAACAAATGTGTATTCTCCACTTCCCTTGCCTCCCTACCTCAGTGTTCCGTTGGCTTGGCCAACATGACCTTCACTGGCTTGAGGATAAAGCAGCATATGATACTTGTGATGGGTCTCGAGCTATACAACTCCTAAACTCAAGATTCTATGGGGTGTACAAGTTTGTAGTCCCCACAGAGAGTAGAAAAAAGTACAGCTTGTACTTTGCATCATTAACAGGGGAGGATTGTGAGAAGGGCATGAAGGCCGCTGTGAGAGTTGGCTGAATTGTATTGGCAAACTGTTTGATACATCGGTCACATGTAGCTGCAGATCTGACCAGTTTTCTATATCGAAGCTCTATTCTGTTCATCCTGTTACTGTACCTTGCGAAATCCATTCAATTCGTACACAGAGCAGAAATCCGTTGTCCCTTCATCCCCCCCTCCACTCCAATTCAGCGTCGCATTCACTCACACCCCATTGTTGTTCCTCAACCAATTTGATTTGAACCCTTCTCTAAAACCCCTCGATTTAGCCCATGCGATCCCAACTGCAACAAATAGCGCCCTTTCCGCGAGCGCGTGCCCGGAGATATTGCCTTTTTTCGCTAGCCATTTTGATCTGATACGTTCGCAGCAGCGGCGTCAGGGACTGGAGATCTCGATAGACTGAGTGCCCGCTCGATAGATTGAGTGCCCGCTCCCTCCTCTATAGTGGGGGAAGATGCTGCTCCGCGCAATTCCCCCGATCTCCCCAACAGCGCCGGGGACTCGTGCGGCTTGCGCGCACGGGGACGATGGCGCGTGCCGCTCGACGCACGCTCTCCCGCATTTGCCGGCTCCGCGCAAAGCCGGGAGCTTCGCACACCCTCAGAACTTCACGCTCGCGCGCTCAGTGCGCAGCGTGAAGCAACCGCGAGAACAATTTCCACGTGTCGCTGCCACGCGAGCTGCTGACGTGGACGCGACGCCAAGCGACGACGGCAGCAATAACAGCAGCAGCAGGCGGGAAGGGTATGAGGAGGAGGAACAGGGAGTACAGGGGGGAGCAGTAAGGACTACTGGTGAGCTGTACGCGGCTGAGTACGACACGGTATTGGCACAACTAGATTCTCTCCCCCCAAGTGAAGCCACCCGGTTTAATCGCGTCCTCCACATTCTGTCGGTCAAATACCCCAGACGCCACGTCAGCATGGGCTCTATCGCGAGTCAGAATCTTCTGTTCCTCGTCCACCTATCAGGAGGCGCCCTTTCGGATAAGCAGCTTCTAACTATTTTTTTTAGGAACCCCTCGCTTTTCCAGACAGATTTTTACTCCCTCACCAGCCAGAAGACGGCTTTATTTAATGAGTACGGAATCTCGTCGCTTAGTCTTCTACGCGCCGCGACTCGCGCGTGCGTCTTCTCGGTCTCGGAGGAAACCCTCGCAGCGGCTTTGCACTTTTTACGGCACGATTTAGGGGTTAAGAGAATAGACAAGGTCGTCCAGAGTTTTCCGTTCGTTTTGAACCTGACCGTACCGACCCTAAAAGAGAAGGTTCGGCAACTGGAGCTCGCAGGTTTGGCACCGGTTGCGGATATTATCGAAACTTCCCCTTTCGTTTTGGGGGGTAGAGCGTCAGAGATCCAGCGGAAGGTACTTCTGATCCAGTCGATCCTGGGTGATTATAACGGGGATAAACTGTACTATCTGCGGCGGTACCCGCAGCTGCTTTTAGTGAAGCACGAGACGACGGAAGCGACTTATAAAGGGATGGTGGAGTATTTTGGCGAGGAACAAGCGCGCCGATTCTTGTTGCGTCAGCCGCTGCTGCTGGGGCAAAATTGGGACAGCATGGTTGTGACTCTAACGAATCTGATTAAATCGTTTGGGCGGGAGGACGCGGTTCGGATGATGAATCAGATGCCGTTGATAATCGCGTTCGCGTGGGAGACGCTAGAATCGAAGATTCGATTCGTTGTGGAGGATATGGGGCGGGGGCTTGCCGACGTGGCGATGTGGCCGGCGCTGCTGACGCGGAGTGTGGATAAGAGGCTCCGTCCTCGTTACAAGCTGCTGCTGGAAGCGGGTAAGGCGCACAAGTATGGGCTTGGGTACATGTTCGGGTGCAAAGATGTGGATTTCGAGAGGAGGTTCGGCCTGAAGCTGGCTCAAAACCGAGGGGAGGAGGAAGAGGAGGGGAGGAAGGAGGGGGGAGTGGAGGTAAGGCAGGGAGAGGAGGGAGAGGCGGGCGAGGAGGGAGAGGAGGGGGAGGAGGGAGAGGAGGTGGTAGTGGTTAAGGCAACAGGGGAGGAGGGAGAGGCGGTGGTGGTGGTGGTGAAAGGAGTGGGAGTGGGAGTGGGAGGGGATGAGGAGGGGGGGAAGTGGTGGTGGTGGTGAAAGGAATAGAGGAGGGGGAGGATGAGGAGGTGGAGGGAGGCGGGCAAGAGGAAGGCAAGGGGGCTCTGGAGACAGCTGGTTCACGAAGTGCTACCATGAAGCAAACTCCTGGGGGGGAGGGGGAGAGATGAGGGAAGAGAGGAGAGGTTGAGGCAAAAACTTGCAGAGACTATTGGGCCGAGGTGCTCTACCGAGGTTGTGGAAATACACCCTTAGGGTGACTGGTTGGTGGATGCTAGGCATGGTGATTGGTTTGTAGATGGGTTAGGCCCATCCAATAGATTTGGTCCGTAGCTCCGGCTCATCCCCATTATTGTTAGCTGCGTTTCAGAACTCTGTTTCCGAGCATCAGTGCAAAAATAACGAGTTTTTGTGTTGTGGCCTCCAATTCGCTAACAGGCTTTCTGGTTACATGGCTGGCAATGGACATTACTTAGAATCCTAAAGAATGACTCCACTGCTTTTGGATGGCGTGTTTGACGCTCAGAGGGAGGAGCAAGGCGTCGCACTGCCTTCGCTGCAACATCACTGCTCTTGAGGCGCCTAAAAAATACACTCCCCTCACAGACCACTCACAGACCACTCACAGACCATATGAAATATACCAGCACCACGTCAGTCAAGGGCAGGGCCACCAGAATCAAGTGTAGCACCACTTGAATCATGCAGCTGCCTCGTGAGTCGAACCATGCCCTTGCCCCTCACACACAAAAGCATCTTCACAAGTGGCTGTCCTCAGGCCCGATCTCAGCCGTTGGATGTCAAGAGTGAAACTCGATCCAGCGGTCCCCAGGAAAATATCAGCCAGCGCAGCCACGCACTTGTCTATAGTGGACACAATAAGCCCCTGGTGTTGGAAGTCAAAACTTTGCAGCCGGGCAGCCCACTTCTGCCCGCGAAGGTTCGGGGGCAGCATAACAAGCCGAAGGTCCTGAATGTGCTGAAATAAAGCGTGACGGATCTCGGTTAGCTGTTGGGGGGAGGAGGAATGGGACAGGGGGAATGGGGCAGGGGGAATGGGACAGGGGGAATGGGGCAGGGGGAATGGGACAGGGGGAATGGGACAGGGGGAATGGGACAGGGGGAATGGGACAGGGGGAATGGGACAGGGGGAATGGGACAGGGGGAATGGGACAGGGGAATGGGACAGGGGGGATGCACCCCGCTCCTTGCCAACACCAACACCACTCCAACAATGCACACACCAAGGGTTTCATGCCTCTTTAGGACTGGCATCGGACACCAGAAACACCGACTTGATCCCTCCAGCCGTCTCCATCGTCCTGGCAATTCACCCTGCTGTCCGCCTTACCATGCAAGTGCTGCTTGCCTTACCATGCAAGTGCTGCTTGCCTTACCGTGCAAGTGCTGCTTGCCTTACCCTGCAAGTGCTGCTTGCCTTACCCTGCAAGTGCTGCTTGCCTTACCCTGCAAGTGCTGCTTGCCTTACCATGCAAGTGCTGCTTGCCTTACCATGCAAGTGCTGCTTGCCTTACCCTGCAAGTGCTGCTTGCCTTACCCTGCAAGTGCTGCTTGCCTTACCCTGCAAGTGCTGCTTGCCTTACCCTGCAAGTGCTGCTTGCCTTACCCTGCAAGTGCTGCTTGCCTTACCCTGCAAGTGCTGCTTGCCTTACCCTGCAAGTGCTGCTTGCCTTACCCTGCAAGTGCTGCTTGCCTTACCCTGCAAGTGCTGCTTGCCTTACCCTGCAAGTGCTGCTTGCCTTACCCTGCAAGTGCTGCTTGCCTTACCCTGCAAGTGCTGCTTGCCTTACCCTGCAAGTGCTGCTTGCCTTACCCTGCAAGTGCTGCTTGCCTTACCCTGCAAGTGCTGCTTGCCTTACCCTGCAAGTGCTGCTTGCCCCCTCTGCTTGCCTTACCCTGCAAGTGCTGCTTGCCTTACCCTGCAAGTGCTGCTTGCCTTACCCTGCAAGTGCTGCTTGCCTTACCCTGCAAGTGCTGCTTGCCTTACCCTGCAAGTGCTGCTTGCCTTACCCTGCAAGTGCTGCTTGCCTTACCCTGCAAGTGCTGCTTGCCTTACCCTGCAAGTGCTGCTTGCCTTACCCTGCAAGTGCTGCTTGCCTTACCCTGCAAGTGCTGCTTGCCTTACCCATGCAAGTGCTGCTTGCCTTACCCTGCAAGTGCTGCTTGCCTTACCATGCAAGTGCTGCTTGCCTTACCCTGCAAGTGCTGCTTGCCTTACCCTGCAAGTGCTGCTTGCCTTACCCTGCAAGTGCTGCTTGCCTTACCCTGCAAGTGCTGCTTGCCTTACCCTGCAAGTGCTGCTTGCCTTACCCTGCAAGTGCTGCTTGCCTTCCCCTGCAAGTGCTGCTTGCCTTACCATGCAAGTGCTGCTTGCCTTACCCTGCAAGTGCTGCTTGCCTTACCCTGCAAGTGCTGCTTGCCTTACCCTGCAAGTGCTGCTTGCCTTACCCTGCAAGTGCTGCTTGCCTTACCCTGCAAGTGCTGCTTGCCTTACCATGCAAGTGCTGCTTGCCTTTCCATTGGAGTACAAGTGACACACCAAGGGTTTCATTTCATACCTCCTTGGGACTAGCATCGGACACCAGAAACACCGTCTTGATGCCTCCAGCCTATCCCTCCCTGCTGCCCGCCTTACCATGGGAGCGCTGCCAGCCTGCACTACCATGCGAGTACAAGTGACACACCACGGGTCACATACCTCCTTGGGACTTGCATCCGACACTAAGAACACAGTCTTGATGCCTCCAGCCTTCTCCATCCTCCGTGCAATGCACCCTGCTGCCTGCGCCGCCCGCACGTGGCACATCACTCCAGGTTCTTTACACCCCACGCCCACCTCCCCCCTCCTCCAATGCACAGCCACAAATCTCTTATCCTGGATTTCCGCCACCTCACTATCCTTCTGCCACCCCACCCCCCTGCTCCCGCCGTCCGCGCCGGTGTTGTTGATCGTGAAATTCGCGGGCGTGTGGCTAAAAGTGACGTTTAGCGCGATTTGAGTCCACATTTTGGATTGGATCAGGCGCTCGGCGGATAAAAGGACGGCTGGATGGGGGTGGATGGCGAGAGAGTTCGGGCAGCCCGGGCGGCGGAAAAAAGGAATGTCGCCCTCGAGCTCGAGCGACCGGTCAAAGGAGAAAACTTCAAGCTCCCCGAGAACCACAACCTGGGCAGAAGGAAGGATTTCCCTGACGATTTCAGCTGCTTCGGGCAGGCGAAACTTCTGCTCTGTGATCGACGTGGACGGGGCAGTGCTCCAGGTGATATTTTCAGCCAGGGCAGCATCGGGCAGATCGACTAGAGTGCCCGGGTCCCCGTGACCTTTCTGGTTGTAGCAGGCAGCGCGTAGGCATAGCACCTGATCTATCACTACTTTCCCCTCCTTCACTCCACCCCCCTCCCCTTGCTGCTTGCTCAGATCTACAAACTCTTGGGTGGAAAGCACAGACAGGGGGCCGTAGCACCTGGGGGGGGAGGAGAGAACGGGAGGTAGTGGAGAGAGAAGTGGAAAAAGGGGGTGTGAGAGAGAGAAGTGGAGAGAGAAGAGAGAAGGGCACATCACTACTTTCCCCTCCTTCACTCCTCCCCCTCCGCTTGCCCCTCGCTCAGGTCGATAAATTCCTGGGTGGAAAGCACTGACAGGGGGCCATAGCACCTGGCGGGATGGACAGGGAGGGGGAGAGGGGGAAGGGAGTGGGGAGACAAGGGGTAGAAAAGGGGAGGGGGGTGAGCATGCGCCAGTGGCGGTCATTGGCACCACCAGCAGCGTGCGGTTGGGAGAATGCTGTCTCTTTGCAGTCTCGGATGTGATGTGAGGCGAGGAGACTTGGCTTAACTCCTTGTGGGGTTCACGTCCAACGTGGTGCGCTGGTCGTAGCCGGAAGCCACCTTAGTGGTGTTCATTGGCACCAGCAGCATGCGGTTGGGTCAACCAGCGCTCTTATCCACCCACCTACCTGCGTGTGTGATTCAAATCAAACACGGCGCGCCGGTCGTAGCCCGAGGCCACCTCTGTGGTGTCCATCGGCACCAGCAGCGTGCGGTGAGTCTAGACAGAACCCTGGTTTCCAGATAACCTGTCACTCGACCAAGCAACACACCCACCTTCTTGTGTGATTCAAGTCGAACACGGTGCGCTGGTCGTAGCCGGAAGCCACCTCTGTGGTGTTCATTGGCACCAGCAGCGTGCAGTGAGTCTAGTCAGAACCCTGTTCTCCAGATGACCTGTCACTCAACCAAGCGACCCACCCACCTTCTTGTGTGATTCAAATCGAACACGATGCGCCAGTCGTAGCCCGAGGCCACCTCTGTGGTGTCCATTGGCACCAGCAGCGTGCGGCTGGGGCAATGCAGCAGCAACAGCAGTCTTGGACGTGACCTGAGGAGACATGACTTACCTTCTCGTGTGATTCAAGTCGAACACGATGCGCCGGTCGTAGCCGGAAGCCACCTCTGTGGTGTTCATTGGCACCAGCAGCGTGCGGTTGGCCAGGCCAGCCAGGAGCATGTAGTTGCGGAAGCAGCGCACCCGCGTGCTGGACTGCGAGGTAAGGGGGGAAGAGGGGGAGAGGGGGAGGGGAAAGAGGGGGGAGGGGAAGGGGGAGGGGGGGGGCACAAGGCCTTCATTGGCCACAGCAGCGTGCAGTTGGCCAGCCTTGCCTGGAGGAGGTAGTTGCAGAAGCAGCACCCGCGAGCTGGACTGGAGTTAGGGGGAGGTGGGGGGGGGGGGGGAGGGGAGAAAGCGAGAATGCCTTCATTGCTACCAGCGGCGTGTGGTTTTTTTACTCAAAAGTGGAGTTGGGGGGGGAGGGGGAGAGAGAGAAGAGGGGTGGCATGCTGGGTCAATGCGACAAGGCCTTCAGGGCACGAGCAGCGTGCGGTTGGCCAGCCCTGCTAGCAGCAGGCAGCTCCGAAAGCAGCGAATGCACGTGCTAAACTGCAATGGAATTGTGAAGGGGAGGGAGGGAGAGAGAGGAGGGGGGGGGGATAGAGGGGTAGGGGGGCAAGGTGTTGAGAGGGCTTCCATTGGCACGAGCAGTTGGCCAGCCCTGCTAGGTGATTTTTGAGTCGACTAAAAAAGATAAAAACGGCCTTTATTGGTACCAGCAGCGTGCGGCTGGCCAGCCCTGCTAGCAGCTTGTAGTTGCGGAAGAAGAGGCACCACCGTCTCCCCTGCTACCAGCATGTAGTTGCCATTGAGTCGACTCAAAAGCAACCCTGCTAGCAGCATGTAGTTGCCTTTGAGTCGACTCAAAAGCAACCCTGCTACCAGCATGTAGTTGCCTTTGAGCTGACTCAAAAGCAACCGCGCTAGCAGCATGTAGTTGCCTTTGAGTCGACTCAAAAGCAACCGTGCTAGCAGCATGCAGCTGCGGAAGCAGAGGATGTGCGTGCTGGACTGGAGTTTGTGGGGGGGGGGGAGGGGAGGGGGGAAGTAGAGGGGGGAGGGATCGTGGTCTTATAATGTGGTTATCGGAGGGATGCATCGATTGTTCTCTCGCGCCCATTCCATTCTCTCTCGCTCCCTCACCACACACCTTCCCCCAAAGCTCACACTTACCTTTCCAGCCCACGCACACTGTGGCCCACCCACACACCGTGGCACTCCACTCCCACCCACACACCTTCCCCCGAGGGCGATCCATGAAAATGTACTTCCTTTGCTCCAGCGCCCATTCCATGCTGTCCCGCCCCCTCAAGCGCACACCACTGTCCCACAGATACGTTATTCCCAAGCCCCCCACCCACACACCTTGGCCTCACGCCCGCTCTCTATCCACCTTCCCCCTATGGCAGTCCATAAGGATGTGTCAATCCTTCCCCGGCGTCCACTCCATGCTCCCACTGGTGAATCCACCCCTCACACCTATTGCCGCCCTCCACCCTGTCTCCCAATGACGAACCCAGTCCACTTTACATCCGCCCATTCACCACGCACCTTCCCCCTATGGCAGTCCATGAGGATGTATCCATCCTTCTCCGGCGCCCATTCCATGCTGCCACGAGAATATACCTGTATGCCCCCACTACCTCACTCAAATGGCCCCCCACACACACCTTCCCCCTATGGCAGTCCATGAGGATGCATCTATCCTTGTCCGGCGCCCACTCCATGCTCCCCCACCCTCTTGACCATGCGATGAGCTCCCACCTACCTTGGCCCCAGCTACCTCCTTCCATCTCCCCCCATCCCCACCCCACCAACCTTGCCCCTATGGCAGTCCATGAGGATGCATCTATCCTTCTCCGGCGCCCACTCCATACTGCCCTTGGCGAATCCTCCCCTCCAGTCCGCATGCCCTCCAAACCCTTCTTCCAACAGCCCACCAAGTCCACTTAATATGTGCCCTTTCCCCAGATACACCTTTCCCCAGACGCACCTTCCCCCGATGGCAGTCCATGAGGATGTATCGATCCTTTTCCGGCGCCCATTCCATACTGCCCTTAGCGAACCCGCCCCTCCAGTCCGCATGTCCCGCCAGCCTATGAGCCGCTGCCACGTCAGCACCTTCTGCGCTCCCCGTCTCCCCTCCCCCCTGTCCGTCAGAGGGGCACCTTCCCTGCGACTGCTTTGCCTTGTCCTCCTGCTCCCTCTGCTCCTTTCTCACAGCACGACCCCTGGGGGGTGGAGAAGCGATGAGGGGGAGAGAGGGTTGTATTGTATGGTTCGCGAGTCAATTCAAAGGTCAGAGGGGCGTTTTCCCGCTGCCTGCTGTGCCTTGTCCTCCTGCTCCCGCTGCTCCTTGCTCACAGCACGGCCCCTGGGGGGAAGGGAAAGGGGGCGGGGGGACGAAGAAGGGGAGAGGGGTGAAGCTTAAGTGACTTGTGAGCCAACTCTGAGGAGCACCTTCCCACTGCCTGCTTTGCCTTATCCTCCTGCTCCCTCTGCTCCGTGCTCACAGTACGGCCCCTTGGGGAGAAGGGAGTAGGAGGGGAGGAAGGTGGACGGGGGAAGGGGTGAAGGAATCAAGAAGGTGAGACTCTCTCCTCTGCTCCCTCTGCTCCTTGCTCACAGCACAGCCTCTTGGGGAGAAGGGAGTAGGAGGGGAGGAAGGAGGGCGGGGGAAGGGGTGAAGGAATCAAGAAGGTGAGAGACTCTCTCCTGCTCCCTCTGCTCCTTGCTCACAGCACGGCTCCTTGGGGAGAAGGGAGTAGGAGGGGAGGAAGGAGGGCGGGGGAAGGGGTGAAGGAATCAAGAAGGCGAGACTATCTCTCCTGCTCCCTCTGCTCCTTGCTCACAGCACGGCTCCTTGGGGAGAAGGGAGTAGGAGGGGACGGCATGAGAGAAAGAGGCAATTAGCATGCCTGTTGATGCATCACCAGTCGAGCTTCAACTATGCGTCGTCGTCACTTTCACCCTTTCAAACTAGCCGCCCTCTCAAGCTGGCCGCCCTCTCAAACTAGCCGCCTTCTCAAGGGGGTGTCATCCGTGTCCACCACGTCCACCACCTTCACGCTCTCGAGCCCCTCCCCGTTCTCCCCCTCCAGTCCTGGCACCAGCATTATGGTCACGTTTCCAGCCCGTTTCCAGCCCGTTTCCAGCCCGTTTCCAGCCCGTTTCCCGCCCGTTACCCGCCCGGTTTCGGCCCATTTTCAGCCCGTTTCTAGCCGGATTCCAGTGCATTCAGGCTCGTAGGAATCCAAACTTCATGACTCACCAGTCGAGCTTCAGCGGCGTAGCATCGTCATCCACCACGTCCACCACCTTCACGCTCTCCAGCCCCTCCCCGTTCTCCTCCGCGCCGTTCTCCTCCTCCAAACCCGGAGGCAGCAGCACCATGGTCGCGTTGGCCTTGGATACCACCTCCCCCAGTCGCACCCGCAGCACCCTCAGCCGCCCTACCAGCTGACTCACCGCCTCGGGACTGGGCGGGAAGAAGGGGAGGGAGGAATAGGGAGGAACGGCGGGGGGGAGGGGGTGGGGTAAGGGGAGGAGAAATGGAGAAACGGGAAAAAGGGAAGGGAGCAAGGGAGTCTATTTTTGAGGCGCCTCAAAAAGGGAAGGGAGCAAGGGGGGAGGAGAATCCGTGGATAAGCGAAGGGGAAGAGGAGAGAAGGAGACACAAGCTCACCTCAGAAATCCGTTGGCCGTTGATGCCACGTCATCCGCCAATCTCCGCCGTACAGAACCCTCCCAAAAACCAGAACCCGACAGCGAGAGCACTCGTGACGTCATCGGCCAATTTCCGTTCTCCTTTGACACCAACGCTGCTGAAGAGTCCGCTCTTAACGCGGATGCTGCGGAAGAACCAGCAATGCTGCTGAGAATGACCAGAGTAAGAAGGTTTAAAGCCATCAGAGGCGTATGAGAGCCACCTGGAGCAAGGATCCCTCGGGAATGACGAGAAGGGGAGCGAGTAGAAGCCTGAATCGATGGAGATGGAGAGGGGTTTGTCCGGCCAATCAGGCTCCCGACCGGTCTTTCTGCGAAACTACCTGCTGCAGCGTAACTGGAAGCGTCGTGGAAGCATGTTTGGCTTCTCATTCCGGAGCTACTAAAACCGCTCCGGCTTTTAGCTAAGCGCGAAGGTCTGCATGCAGTTCCCATCGCGGCTTCCTAAAATCGTTTCAGTATTACCTGATCAAGCGACGCCTGACATTCTGAGTGAGACTCTCTACAATGCGTCCCGTCCCGTCCTACAATACGATTCACTTCCCTTAACCTCTACAATACGGAAACACTAGAAACTACGTGCGTGTGATCGGACTTAAAGACGCCTCAGAGAACGTGTCAGTCGTGGTTGCGACCGAATCTGACTGACCGTAGATGCCGCGGTCAAGCGTGAATCAATTAGGTCAGCTGATTATGTGGTCACTGATCAGATGGCCTCTAGGTTTACTGACCTCCATCAATTCTATCCATGGTCAAGTGAGAGCGTGTTTCATGGGTTGCGCCCTGCCTCGATACCGCAACCCGAGTTGCGCAACCAAATTCAGCTTAACCCATCTTTCACATGCCAGGCGAGGTTCGGGGAGCCTGGTAACCAGACCGGTTTGCGCAACTTTGATGGGTTGCGCAACCCTTGGATTGAGCTTCCAAGCAGCCTTGAACCACCTCGAGATTGCCCGACACGTTGGTGAAGCTGGCGGGATACGCGATAGAAGCAGCATCACGCCCCTGGAGAAGAAATTGATATCTACACCGCTCTGTTTCTTGGAAGCTCGTCAAAAAGTACTTCGGTGGCGTGTCTTTTCACGCGTTACAATACGATGCAACGCGGTGCAGATGTGCATTTCTCCTAGAGAGTTTTTCAGTGAGTTCATTCCAGATTCCAGAACCATCCAGCCACCAGCAACCAACTGGACTGAATAATAATAGCTAAGCCATAGTGGGCTGGCATAAAGCCACGCTGTAGTGAGAAAACCAGGCAGCCAAATCCACGCTAGTGAAGGAGGTGGACTAACGGACTCTCAGACGTCTCGAAAAAGCAACTAGAGCCTTTTCACCCTCGGTCTGCGCATTGGGGCGCTCGAATCATTCGGCAAAACTTCCTATCGCCAAGCACCATCGTCGTCGATCTTTCGAAGCGCGTCAGATCCCGGCTCGTACGGGGAAGAACCCAATTTTGCGCCATCATTGTCGCGGGAATCCTCGATTTCGTTTTAAGGCGTCTCGAAACTAGATAATTGTCGCCGAATCTGCCTTTACCTGGTCGACGCATCACCTTCGCCACCAGTCATGGCAACTATGCACAACGACAGAGATCCTAGTAACGAGGATAGATTCTTCACGCAGAGGCGAACCGTGCTCGCCTTCCTCGATTTCCTCCGCACAGGTAACTACTTGATGCATCGCAGAGGTCGCTCATGGGACGTCTGTGGTAACAGTGTAACCTTCTTCGCTCAGAGGCGAACCTTTCTCGCCTTCCTCGCTTTCCTCCGCACAGGTAACTGCCTGAAGAGTCGCAGACGTCGCTCATGGGATGCTTTTGGTAACAGAGTAACTTTCGCACAGGTGAATGAAAGGCGGTCAGTTAGAGTACACCCCGGCACCCTAGGGATTGCCGCATACTTCCGCTTGTAATAATGTCTCTCCGTTTCCTGTCTCCTTCCGTGTCCCATCGACTCAGACGCTCTAGAGGTTGCCTTGACTACCTTGACTTCCCTCTTCCAGCCATCCCTGTCTCCTTTCATGCCCCCCACTCCCCCCCCCCCCCCCTCTCCCGCCCCATGGCATATCAGCCTCACTCCCCCCTACGTTCGACTCAGACGCCCTAGAGGTTTCATTGACTGCTTTTAATTCCCTTCCCTCTTCCTGCCATCCCTGTCTCCTTTCATGCCCTCCCGCCCCCCCCTCTCTCTTCCGCCCCATGCCCCATCAGCCTCTCTCGCCCCCGCAGTCGACTCAGACGCCCTTAGAGGTTTCATTGACTGCCTTCGATTCCCTTCCCTCTTCCAACCATCCCTGTCTCCTGTAATCCTCCCCAACCCCCCCCTCTCTCCCGCCCCATGGCCTGTCAGCCTCTCTCCCCCCCACAGTCGACTCAGACGCCCTAGAGGTTTCATTGACTGCCTTCGATTCCCTTCCCTCTTCCAGCCATCCCTGTCTCCTTTCATGCCCTCCTTCCCTTCCCCCCCTCCCCCCCCTCCCCCATGCCCCATCAGCCTCTCTCCCCCCCACAGTCGACTCAGACGCCCTAGAGGTTGCCGCAGACTGCCTCTCCGAAGCTTTTGGGGTCAGCCCACAGAACCCGGACGACCTTGAGAAGTTCTCAATTCTGCCCGGAACACTGTTGCAGCTCATTCAGGATAGCACGCCAGGTTCTCTCATTGGCCATGGTCCTTCAACCGTGGCTGCCCGCCCAGACGGGCAGCCAGGAGAAATGTCTCGAGCTGCCCCGCCGCCGGAACCTATGGATGAAGGGAATAAGGATGACACCGGGCCTCGAGCAACAGGCTCGGCAGACAGGCCTGGGGAAGGTTCGGTTGCAGCAGCTGGAGCAGATTCTAGTTCAGGATCAGGGGCGGAAACAGGAGCAGGGGAGGATGTGGCGATGAAAGAAGCAGCTGACGGGCCGGCTGAGGCGGAAAAGCCAGGCACAGCGGGAGAAGGGGAAACAACGCAAGGAATGGACGCCGCAAGTGTCGATGGGGAGGAGACGAAGAGAGGAGAAGCGGAGGAGAGGGGGGGAGAGGCGGAGAAGAGGGGGAGAGAGGAGGCGGAGAACAAAGAGGAGGATGGGGGGGAGGCGGTGGATTTGGATCAAAAGCTGCAGGAGTTTTTGGAGGGTTTGGAGAGTGCGAACTACTATGCGGGGACGGAGGCAGGGAGCGAGGCGTACCTGGAGAGACGGAGGCAGGCCACGGCGATATTCCACCAATGCGTGCAGCAACAGAGCGAGCAACAGCAAGAGCAGAAAGAGCAAGAGCGAGAGCAGAAGGAAGAAGAGGATGGCAAGGATCGAAAGGAGAGCAAGGGAAAGGCGAAGGAGCAGGAAGGGCAAGATGTTTCGGCTGCTGCCACTGCTGATGCTGCCGCTGCCGTGGGTGTTGGGTCCGGGAGCAGCAGTGCAGGCACCACGAGTGCTGCGGGTGCTGCTGCCAGTGGTGGTGCTGCTGCTACGGAGACTGCTGGGAGTGGGGCAGCAGCAGTGGTGACAGAGGAGGACAGGAAGAGAGCAGACGAGCTGAAGGCTCAAGGTGAGTAACGCAGGTACCACAAGTGCTGCGGGTGCTCCTTCCAATGCTGCTGCTGCTGCTGCTGCTGTGGCAGAGACTGCAGGGGCTGTGACTGCAGCAGCGGTGGGGGCTGAGGAGGACAGGAAGAAAGCAGACGAGCTGAAGGCTCAAGGCGCGCAGACTTTGTCGGCGTGTGTGTGGCACATCGTTTGCAGAGAGTAGTAGTAGAAGCAGCGGTAATGCCCACATCGTGTGCACACGATGTGCCACAGGTGGCGCACATCGCGAGGTGGACATTGGGCAGCAGTAGCAGCAGGGAGCAGCTTTACCAGCCATATCCTTTTGAGGCGCCTCAAAAGTAGAAGCAGGGAGCAGCTTTACCAGCCATATAGTGTGGTGCTCCTCATTCCCTCCATTCCTGTGCAGGCAATGCTGCCATGCCAGCCACGCAATACGAGGGGGCTCTGAACCTCCACTCCAGACCGATTCTGAGATGTCTTTTTAACACTCTCTCCCTGCACCCGTATAAGGATCCCCCCATCCCATTTTCGAGAAATTTCAAAAAAGAATTCCTAAGAATGATTCCTTTTTTTTTTTTTTTTTTTTTTTTTTTAATTCTCAAGAATGATTCTGAGATGTCTCTAACACTCTCTCCCTGCACCGTAAGGATTCCCCCACCCCATTCACCCCGCCAGGCAATGCGGCCATGTCAGCCAAGCAATACGAGGAGGCTCTGACCCTGTACTCCAAGGCTAGTTTGACATAGCAGCATTGCCTTGGAGTGGCCTGGGAGTGGCCTGGAGTGGCCTGGGAGTGGCCTGGGAGTGCTCTGTCAGAATCCCCCTTCTCCCACCCTTGTCGTCCCGTCCCATCCATTTCTGTGCAGGCAATGCCGCCATGTCAGCCAAGCAGTACGAGGAGGCTCTGACTCTCTACTCCAAGGCGATCTCCCTTTGTGGCGGCACCAACGCAATTTATTATGCCAACAGGTACTTTCCCTTCCCTTATCTTCTCCTCTCCCCTCCTGCTCTCGTTAAATCTCTCTCTACTCCACTGCTATCTCCCTCTGTGGCGGCACCAACGCCATCTATTATGCCAACAGGTAGGTAACTGGTGACACAAATAATAATTCTGTCGCATTACAAGGTCATTTTGAATCTGAAATGCAAGATGTCATAGCTGATTGCGTTACAACACACTTGAAATGCATCTGCTTGTTGCCAACTGAGCTTGCCGATTTTTCTTTTTCGCTGGAAAGGATGCTTGCTGATTTTTTAGTCGACTAAAACATCACCTAGGAAAGAATGCTTGCTGATTTTTTAGTCGACTAAAACATCACCTAGGAAAGAATGCTTGCTGATTTTTTAGTCGACTAAAACATCACCTAGGAAAGACTGCTTGCTTCTTCCTGCTTCTGCTGTTTCCATCCGAGGGCAGAACCGCAGCACCAGTTGGCACCGCAGCACCAGTTGGGCAACTACAGGATGTTTCACAGCCATAATGTGACTCTTTTACCTTCTGTTATTTCCCATCCCAGGGCACCAGTGCAGCACCATTTGGGGAGCTACAGGGCACCAGGAACTGACAGCGCGAGAGCGATAGTCTATAGATGCGTTGAGGTTTTTCTCAGAGGCATAAACGTGTCTCCTCGTTTTCGCCTTCTCTTCTCTGTTGTAGCAGGGCAAGGAGTCTATTTTTGAGGCGCCTCAACAATAGACTCCTTCTCTGTTGTAGCAGGGCAGCAACTTCCCAGCAGCAGCTGGGAAATTGCATGGCAGCAGCGGCGGACAGCAGGAGGACGATAGGGAGGATTTTCCAGGTTGTTTCACTGCCATAATTTGTCGCCTTTCTCTTCTGTTATTTCCCCTCCCAGGGCTGCGGCACAGCATCAGCTGGGGAACTACATGGCAGCAGCGGAGGACAGCAAGAGAGCCATAGCAGTTGACCCAAGCTACAGCAAGGCGTACAGCCGCCTGGGCCATGCGTACAAGGCTCTGGGGAGGCACCACGAGGCGATAGAAGAGGGGTTCAAGAAAGGTAAGGACTAGTGAAGGTGTGTCTGTGTGTAGGAGCCTGAGACAGCAAGAGCGCATACAGCCGCCTGGGGCATGCATATATGGCATTGGGGAGGCATCACGAGGCAATAGAAGAGGGGTTCTAGAAAAGAGCGTTTCTCATCAGTATACTTCTTATGCTCTTTTTGTTCCTCTTTGTTTGACGTGCTCCTTTCCCTACTTCCACTCTTCCTCTCAGCTCCCGCCCCTCTTCCCCCGCCCCTCTTCCCCCGCCCTCTTCCCCCTTGCTTATCGCAGCTTTGCAGCTCGACCCGTCGAATGCAACGCACAAAGAGAACCTCAAGGTGAGCATGTGCCCTCAGCCCTGGCCATTGCTCTCGAGGTGACTTTTGAGTCGACTTAAAAGTCACCTCGAGTCAACTCAAGAGTTGCTTTGCAGCTCGACCCGTCCAATGCAGCGCACAAGGAGAACCTCAAGGTGAGAGCACAGCTTTGCCCCGGCCTCGCATTAGCCTCTGCTCGACATTTGAGCCGGCTCAGAAGGCACATCGTTACAATGTCGCTCGATTCAACAATCACAACGCACAAAAAGAACCTCAAGGTCAGCATTTGCCACTCCCCTGGCCTCGCATTTGCCTCGGCCCTGGCCATTTTTGCTCTTGTGCTAGTGCCACCATTCTTGAGTCGACAAAAGAATCGCCAGTCTGCCTCTCGTGCTATTGCTAGTGCAAGATCTGCCTGTGCTAGTGCAAGATCTGCCTGTGCTAGTGCAAGTTCTGCCAGTGCTAGTGCAAGTTCTGCCTGTGCTAGTGCAAGATCTGCCTGTGCTAGTGCAAGATCTGCCTGTGCTAGTGCAAGATCTGCCTGTGCTAGTGCAAGATCTGCCCATGCTAGTGCAAGTTCTGCCTGTGCTAGTGCAAGTTCTGCCTGTGCCAGTGCAGGATCTGCCTGTGCTAGTGCAAGTTCTGCCTGTGCTAGTGCAAGAACGTCTGGCCAAAGGCTGCCATTATTTGACTATACGCAGGTGTGTGCTACCTGTATTCCTTGCCCTCCCACCAAACCAAAAATGGAAAACTTTCACGCACTGATGAACTTACTGGGACGGCCATTGCCATGAATTTGACCTCTGTTTTTGCTCGCCCCTGTTGCTGCAGGCAGCCTAGAGGGGGCTGTACGCGCAAAGGCAGGTCATTTTTAGGCGCCTTAACAAAAGCAGAAGAAGAGATGCTTCCCCATCCATGCCCGTTGCTTGCCTTGTCCCCATCGCTGCAGGCTGCCAAGAGGAGGCTTGACGAGCAAAGGCGGAGCTCCTGCTGCTCGCACCATGTATGTTGTCTGGCGAGGAGAAATGACAATTTCTTCTTTCTTTCCCATCGTTCCGAGACATACTTTCTCCGTGTCCGCACCTCCTGTCGTTCTCTTCCATCGCCATAATCAAAATGCGTCCGTGGATTCTCCTCGCCACTTGTTTGCTTCGCTGCAATTCTCTTCATGAGGTAATCTTAGTCGTTGTAGAGTCAACCGCGTTGGGTCGAGATTTGCCTTGGGTCGAGGTTTGCCTTGGGTCGAGATTTGCCTTGGGTCGAGATTTGCCTTGGGTCGCCATGGAATCATACAATGACTCTTTACCCCCATCATGCCTCTCTCTCTCTGACGCCCGCCCACCGCACCGCCACCATTTTAAGGCACCTCAAGTTGCCCCCCTTCTCTCCACCCCCCCACCCATCCACTCTCTCTCTCTCTCTGTGAGCAGGATCACGGCCACCAGCACTACCATGATGCCCACCCACAGCACCACCACCATGCACCCCCTCCCCCCTTCGCTTTCCCCACTGGCATTCCTTTCGGGGGCTTCCCCATGCCTGGAATGGGCATGCCTGGGGTGGGTATACCTGGTATGGGCATGCCGGGGGCCGGCGTACCTGGTATGGGCATGCCGGGGGCAGGCGTACCTGGTATGGGCATACCTGGTATGGGTATGCCCGGTGCAGATATGCCTGGTGGTGCGGCCCCCTCGGCCTCCCAAACCTTCACCCCAGGCTCGGCACCAGGCCAGGCGACATACAATATCTCCCTGGACAATCTTCCGCTTGACCCCAGCAGCATTTCGGGCGTGCTGGGTGCGATTCAGAACCTGGTCGGGGGATTCAATGTGGCGCAGCAGCCGCAGCAGCCACAGCAGCAGCCACCACCTGCGTAACAATTTATGAGTACTGTGTTGTATGCTTGACCCTCCTCGTTTTCGCTACCCTGGGAATCTTAGGTCTGCTCTCGATTGGCCCCTGAAAGGAATTTTGAGCCAATTGGCTTCTTACCATTGGAAATGTAAGTAATCCGTGGACTGGACATTCTATCTATTGTGAGAGAGAAGTGTTGACTAGGGCAAGACAGTTTCAGAGAAGAGAATGTATCTGAGTGTTGTTTAGTAGACTACATAGGGTCATGCCATAGAGAGTACAACCCACTAGCTACATACCCCTGTATACTCTCATTCTATTCAACAATTCTAACTCAGATGGTATCATGAGTAGGTTAGGTCCCCCCCGCCCACCCGTGCTTCCGCCTTAGGTCCTAGCCTGCCCCGTCGCCTAGCGCCTAGCCGCCCTATTGCCCCGCCACCTAGCGCCTAGCTGCCCCACTGGCCCCGTGGCCCCGCCACCTAGCGCCTAGCCGCCCGTGGCCCCATTGCCCTGCCACCTAGGGCCTAGCCGCCCTGCTGGCCCCGCGGCCCCGTCACCCAGCGCCTAGCCGCCCCTGTCCCCCGTCGTCTCGTCACCTGGCGCCTAACGGCCCCGTCGCCTAGCTGCCCCGTGGCCTCGCCCCCCTGCCGCCCCGCGACCTCGTCGCCCCGCTGCCTAGCCGCCCTGTCGCATAGCAGCCCCGTCGCCTAGCCGCCCCGTCGCCTAGCCGCCCCGTCGCCTTAGCCGCCCCGTTGCCTAGTCGCCCCGTGGCCTCGTCGCCCAGCTGCCCCGCGGCCATGTCTCCCAGCTGCTCAGCCGCCGTATTTCCCGGTCCTCGCTCGCTAAACCGGCCCTCTCCACCGTCATGCACCGCGCCCCACCGTGCTGCACCGCTCAGCACCGCATTGCACCGCGCCCCACCGCACTGCACCGCGCACCAACTCACTGCACTCATCACTCTCCACCGCGCGCAGCTGCACTACACCGCACTCCACCGCACTGCACCGTACAGCACTGCTCCGCACTGCTCCTCGTCGCTCCATCCCGCCCTCCACCGCCTGTTCGCGGCTGCAGCGGCCTTAATGACGGACTCGGTGCTGCTCTTTGACGCGGAGGGTCAGCCGGTTGAGTTCGACGCATGGCTCATCGACCTCCGCCGTCAGCTCACTGGTCAGCGGTAGGACGGCCACGCCATGGCCGTCCACATTGACAGTACGCTCCCCTGCCCTCACCCCCCTACTACTCTCCCCGATGACCCCACGTCTGCTGACCGTGAGTCCGCCGCCGCTGCTGCCCTTGCCCGTGCTGTCTAGCTCTCGCGTAACGCTGTCGCGCAGCTCGCGTGACGCTGTCGCGCAGCTCGCGATTAGCCATGCCCTCCCCTTGTCTGAGCGCCCCCACTTTAAATCGGTCAGGACTGCGCAGGACTTCCTAGAGGCTGTTGTCGAGCGATATTCCACCCCGTCCTCTGCCTCTGCCGGCCGCCTGATCCTTCCCATGCTCTTCCCTGATCTCGCGTCTTTCCCCACTGTCGCTGACCTAGCCACGCACCTGCACACACTCGATGCAAACTGGCTCGCTGCCTGCACTGAGGCACAGCTTCGTGTGTTCCAGCCCCCTATCTCCTCTACCCTTTACCTGCTTACCACCCGCCTCCTTGACCGCCTTGCCACTGCCCGCGACCACTTTTTGAGTCTGCACCTCGCTGACCTCACTTTCCCTGACTTTGTCGACACCCTGTCTGCCATAGACCCGTCAGCGCTCTATCGCTCAGTCTAGCGGTACTACGCTGGTCCCTATCTTTCAGGGTTGTGCTCCTACTCAGTGCACTTACTCTAATGCTTCTGCGGCTATCGCTGAGACAGCCCCTACTACTGAGACCGCTGTCGCGGTGGCCGCAGCACACTCCCGTTATGGTAAGGCCCACCGCCCCAAGGCTTGGCGCGACGGTGGTAGTGGAGGAGGGGGTGGAGGTGGTGGTGGAGGTGGTTCGTCCGCTGGCGGTAGTACAGACAAGGGGGCTGGGGCTGGTGGCCTCGGAACAACAGCCCTAGTGGGAGCAGCAGAAGGCACCACAGCTTGACAAGCAGCAGCCGCAACCGCAGCAGCAGCAGCAGCAGCCGTTGCAGCAGCAGCAGCAGCAGCAGCAGTTGTAGCGGAGGGTCGACCGCCTCCCGCCTGGGTGGCCTGGCGCTTGTGGTGGTGGTGGTGGTGGTCGCGGTGGTCGTGCGCGTAGCTCGTGGTTGGGTGGTGGTGTGAGTGACGGGCGCTGCCAATACCAGCTCCAGATCGGTCCTCACCGGGGCCTTGTGTGCGGTAAGTCCGGTCATACCCCCACTCGCTGTTTGAGTCGCCTGGACGACCTGTTTCGTCTCCGCTTTGGCCCCGCGTCGGACCTCCCCGACTGGCACACTCTGCTCCGCCGTGGTGTTATGATCTTTGATGTGGACATGGATGAGATTAGCTCTGCATTATATGTGCTATATGTCGCTGACTCTGGTGTGACTGGTTCCTATTACCCTGTGTTGCCTAGTGTAGGTGTGTCCAGTGTGCCTAGTTTAGGCTCCCCTGCTACGTCAGGCATGGGACCCTTTGCTTTGTTTAGCCTTGGCTCCACCCTAGCTCCTCCGCTCCCAGCCGCCACTGCCGCGCTCTCCTTCACTCTCAACTCTGGCGCGTCTCGTTGTTTCTTTCAGGACCACACTACGCTTACACCGCTTGCCGTCCCTGCCGCAGTTTCCCTTGTAGACCCTTCCTCATGTCCGGTAGTCGACTTTAATTCCACCACTCTCCTCTGTCCAGCAGTTCCTTCGGGCTCTCTTTTAGGCCTGCACATCCCCTCGTTCTCTCGAAATATTGTTGGTGTTGGCTGTCTTCAGGACCTCGGCATTACCACTACGTTCCTTGGTCACGAGAGGAACACTGTCTGTACCGAGGCCGCCACTGGTGCCCCCCTCACCACGTTCCCCCGGGACCCGGTGTCAAGCCTGTTCACGCTGGACACCGTGTCCCCCCCGGTTGGGACGCCCCCCAAAGTGGCAGCATCTACCCAGGTTGCTGCGGCTTGCTTGTGTCGGTCGCTTACTCACCCGCCGCTTCTGTGGCACCACCGCCTAGGTCACCTCGCCCTCACACGTCTACGTCACATGTCTCAGCACGGTCTTGTCTTAGGTCTCCCTGCGTAAATCCCTGCGCTCCCCTCTTCGGCAGCGCCTCCGTACACCCCTTGTGTCGAGGGCCGCCTCCGTCGTGCCCCTCACTCCTCCTCGTTCCCCCCCACCACCGCACCATTACAGACCCTGCACATGGACATCTAGGGCCCCGCCCCCGTCCATGGGCCGCGTCGTGAGAGTTACTTCTAAGTACTTGTCAACGACTCCACTCGCTACACCATCGTGTTTCCCCTGGAGCGGAAGGCCGACGTATCCCGTGGCTTCTCTCTGCGCGTGTGCACCGATGTCTCCCTGTGTTGCGTCTTCACTCTGACCATGGTGGCGAGTTCGCCTCTGGCTCCCTTGGTAGATTCTGCCATGCGGAGGGCATCACCCAGTTTTACACCCTGCCGGACTCCCCACAACAAAATGGGGTCGCTGAGCAACGCATCGGCTTGGTCATGGAGGTAGCTCGTACCTCCATGATCCATGCCAGTGCATCCCATTTTTTGTGGCCGTTTGCCGTTCGCTACGCCGCCTGCCAGCTTAACCTGTGGCCGCACCCTCAGCAGCCGCAGGTTTCGCCGACCCTCCTCTGGACCGGGTTTCCTGGTGACGCATCTGCGTTCCACGTCTGGGGCTGCCTTGCTCACGTTCGTGCCTCTGGCTTGGACAAGCTCACTGCCCGCACCGTCCCCTGTGTCTTCCTAGGTTCCCCCTTCGACTCATCTGACTGGTACTTCTACCACCCGCCATCTCACCGTTTCTTTCACTCTCGCGAGGTCACCTTTGACGAGTCCGTCTCCTTCTACCACTGCTTTCCCCACCGTGGTCCCCCTGTCACTCCCCCTTAGTTCCTGGTTTCCCCCCCTCCCCCGGTCGACCTCGATCCTCCCCCTCCCCGCCCTGCCCTGTCTGGTGTGTCTCACGTCACCCCCCTCCTGTCGGTGATCCCTGCCGAGGAGGCTGTTGACTCTCGTAGCTCGGCAGAGTCCATTCCACCGCCTGTCCCCGCCTCGGTCTCTTCTATCCTGTCGCCAACGTTGCTGTCATAGGCGCAGCCGCCTTTGCAGCTACTGTCGCTGCTGCAGCCGCAGCCGCCGTCGTCACCGCCGCTGGGGTTTGTGCATTTTGGGGGTGCTGGGGAGCGTTCCGGGGTGGGTACTGGAGCGGGTTCCCGTTCTGGGGGTGCTGACGTGGGGCTTCCCAGAGCGAGCAGTGGTGCCGCTAAAGGTTCTGGTGTTGGCGTTGGGCAGCAGCCACCGCAGTCGCCGACGGTGTCCGCTCTTCGCCTCGTCGACCTCCCTTCCCTTGACCGCCCGTCGATGCCTCCTCGGTCGCCACCGCCTCCTCCTCTGCCAGTCTACGGCCCTCTGTTTCCTCCAGCGGACTCTTCTCCGGCTCGTTTCCCTCCTCGCTCTCCTCCTGTGTCTCCTCCCCTCTCTCCTGACCCGATTCCTTCGTCTCATGTCTGGGTCCCTCGTTCGTCTCGTGCTCGTCCTACCTCCCTTGTTCCGCGTTCTCACTCTATGTTGCTTTGCTCCCACGCGTCTCGTGCTCCTCCGCTCCTCCTGTCTCCTCCTTCGTCGTCGCTCGCTGTGGCCCTGCCTCCATTTTTTGACTTCCTCTGTGCCGCGCGTCCACTTGTTCCTCGTGTCCTTGCCTCTCTTGTTACCGACCCGTCCGTTCCTGTCTCGAGTTTCTCGGCTCTTGTTGCTGCTGTCATTGATTTCGCCTCTACCCGCCGCCTTGACTACGCCACCGCTCTAGTCTCTGACCCTGCCTGCCCTCCGTCGGTCGGGGGTATGGCTGCCCTTGGCCGTGACGTCCCAGAGGACAGACAGTACGAGCTTGTTTTCCTATTAGAGGCCTCTCCCCATCTCTATTCCATGCTGCTAGTCCCTGAGGGTGACCCAGACGCCCTCGACATCCCGACCCCTCGCACCTACGCTGAGGCCACCTCGGGACCATGGGCCTCTCAGTGGATAGCTGCCATGGAGCAGGGGATGGCATCTTGGAGATCCACCATAACCTTTGTCGACGCAGTTCCCCCACCTGGGATGAACGTAGTCGATGGCCGATGGCTCTTTAAGGTGAACCGCCCTCTTGGAGAGCCGCCTGTCTTCAAGGTGCGCTATGTTGCTCGTGGC